GGGGGGGGGGGGAGGGGAGGGAAGAGGGTGGTATGGAAAACCGATCATCAATGAATCACCTGCTTATGCGGGGCAGTTCACAGACTCGAACAATACAAGTTGTTGCCTTTGGGTAAGAGAAGGATCTTGAAAAAGTTATGTAGTTCCCCGAGGCTGCAAGAATCTCTGTAGACCTCCGACGTGGGCTATGCATATATTGGCTTTCTCGCCCTCCTCCCGCTTTACAAGCCTTGCTGACTGATACTCTGCTGCTTCCACGCCCTTCCTCTTCTCTCTTCCCCCTCCTCCCCCAAGAAAACTTAGCCTTCCTGGTGATTATCTATTCTTCAAGGGTCATATAGTTCCATCCTGGATGGTTGTTTTAGTGTCCAGACGAGCACAGCCAGATGTCCCGGCAGCCAAAGCTTCGGCCAAAGTCACACATCCCGGGCTTTCCAGATGCCATTTATGATCTGTCGGCGGGGACAGCAATCTACGATTTCGGCACTGTCCATGGGCCGGTAGAGGAGAAGAGAGAGCAGCGTGTTTTTCGAGTCAAGCGTAAGCATGTGCTCAAAGCCTGTGATCGGTGCAGAGTGAAGAAGACCAAGGTAAACAAACAACTACTACTAGTCCATCCCCCACTTGGGATTGAGGATTGGGCCAGTCAGCTAAATCAATATTTCAGTGTGATGGCAAGCAACCATGCAATCGATGTTCCACCTACAATCACCCTTGCTTGTTTCGAGAAAGAAAGGCAACCCAGACGAAAGTCTACTCTCGGGGGTAAGCCGGGTCACAGTCCTCATTGGCGTAAGGTTATTTTATACCATTGATGCCAGGGCTAACTCTGTGACTGGGAATAGATTCGTTGAAATGCTCGAGTCACACCACCTGCTCGTGGTCAAAGCGTTGCAGAAGCTCTACAGACACTGTGTCAACAATGAAGGGTTTCCCGGGGAGCCTCTGGTGGAAGTCGCCGACGGCCATCCGCTCACACATGCGATTCTGGACCGTCTGGGACTGATAAAACAAGCCGAGGAGAGCCCTGACGAGCCTGAAGATGATACAGAGGACATCCGATATCTGCGTCTATTGTCTACTTCGTCGAGCGAAACCAGCGGAACAGCCGACGCCTCCCCTGAGCCGTCGGCGCCCACTACTGACCCATCTCCCAGCATCCACCCCTGCCAGCCGATGAGCTCATCTGTTGACAGGATACACTCGTGGGACTGGGGGCTGGTGACTGTGAACAGTGAGCATTGCTATCATGACCACCAGGAGCCTCATTACCGTCACATGCTGTTCCAGCAGCACAAGCCGACCCTGGAGTCTGCGCCTCCTCCTCCTCCTCCTCCTCCTCCAACGGCGGCAGACATGGCCTCTCCTCCCGAGCCGGCCGCGTCTTCCCTTCCCAGCCATGATCCAGCATATCTATACTCTTTGAATCCTGAAAGTAACGAGTCGCCTTTCAGACACCATCCTCCTCGGCTTCCATTTGAAGCAATGGTGCTGCCCACCCCTACTTCACCGGTAGGCATGTTGACCGACTACCAATCTCATTCGTTACAACACTATCACCATCACCACCATCACCAACAACCACAACAACATACATTCTATACTTCCTCTATCGACGATGGAACAGGCTGGGACTATGCGGTCATCTAGCGCAGATCGCCTTCATTCGCTTGATACCCCCCTTCCCCCCCCCCATCTCTTTTCATTCAGTCGCTTCGATCCAGGCTTTCTTGTTTTTTTTTTTTCCCCCACCGTAGCTAAAGGGACTTGGATAGAATTGATATGAAAGCTTTCATAGCTTGATCCTTTTTGGCATGGCTAGGTCTTACAGAAACCGACTCAATTCTTCATTGATTGAACCAAATCTTACTGTTGCTACTGAAATAAGACTAGAGATGTCATATTAAAAAATTGTCCTATGTTGCTTCCGTAGAACTACACTGGTATACAAAGAAAAGAAAGCGGGCCCAAGGGGATTAGAACAGAAAAAATGAGTTTTGTAACCCTGAGTATAGGAATGCAATGCTAGGTATTTCTTTCCAGTAGTTAGTTAGTTAATCATCAATATCCGTCTCCGTGTTGGTATCACTGGTATCCCCCGCGTCGCCGTCCGTGTCGCTCTCATCCTCGCTCGAGTCGTGCGTGGGGCGCGTCTTGCGCGGCGGCGGCTGGCCCGTTTTAAGAGCTTGCATTTGGCCAGCGATGGAATCTAGAACGGTCAGCTTATACTTCATAAGGGGGAAAAGGAAGGGGAAAAAATTACCCTCGTCTGGCTCGCTGATGTCATCCTCTTCTTTGAGGGCGGCGGCTTTGGCCGGGTCGTCGACATGAAGGGTGATGTCCAGCTTGGTGTCTAGGCCTAGATAGCTGTCGCAGAGCATGTTCATGACAAAGGTGAAGTCGCCAACCTGGGGCGGCGCCTGGAACTGCATCTTGAGCGTCTGCACGTTGAAGGTCGGGCGGCCCTCGCTGTCGAACAAGGGCTTGTCGAAGGTGGTGAAAGTGAAGGGGGGTACGGCCATCTTGCCCTGTTTGGCGTCGGCGAGGAAGATGTGCCAGCGCGGGGAGTGGTCGCGAGCCAGGTACGGGGCGTGGGCGAGAGGCGGTTGGATGGTCTCGATCTTCTCCTCTACCGTCTGCCCGTCGGCCAGCTTGACCCTTCTGTTCTTGGCTGACTTGCGGCCCATCAGCGCGTCAAGGTCGTCCTCGTCCGGATCGATATCTTCCAGCTCAAGCTCGTTGACTGCAGGAACATTCGTTGACCCGGGGGGGATGAACCGAGCCTTCACCACCAGCTGTACCAGACTGCTGGGCGTGATGACCTTCTCGCCCATGACCTTGAAAAACGCCTTGCATACTTCGAGGTTGGGAAGCTGTTGCGCAACGGAGACCGCGGTGGCGTACTGCTTGTCGGTCAGCAAGCCCGCACCGACCGTGAGACTACGCCGCTGCGACTCGGGCATTGTCATAAACCGTTGTACAGTGAAGTGAGACTTGGCATTTTCGCCCTCGATGGCTTCCACTATCTTAGGCGTGAAGTAAGGCAGTTGCAGAAGAGGGGAACCGGCGGGCGAAACGGCTTGGATGAGGTGTTGCGAAGTACGGAAAGCTCCTAGGATAGGACGCAGGTTTCCAAAGGCAAGAGCGATAGCAGTGAACGATTCGTTGAGTGATAGAGCAATGGGAGCAGCTTCGTATTTTTCTAGTCCAGTAAGTATAAAAATCCTAGGATCTTTTGGGAGGAGGAGAAAAATGACTTACCGCCATTCAAAGTCTTGTCATTCAGGTCGACCCGCCCCAGATAGGCCCAAAGCAATGCCAGCGCTTTTCTCCGGGACGAATCGTCCAGCTGCTTCAGGGTTTCACGATCCAGGGGAGACAAAAATGTGGCGTCTTCGGTAAGAATCCGTTTCTCTACCTTGGCAAGCCCTGATTCAGCCTTGATTCCGGCCAGTATCTGCTTGAACTCTTCACCGGACGAGAGAGCGCTGACAATCCCACCAACGGCAAGATCTTCGCGGTACTCCCGGAAGATGTTGCCGGCGCTAGCGACCAGGACTCTCTCTTTCGTATAGCGTTGCGTACCATACCACCATTTTCCGACGATGTAGGGCAACAGGACGCCAAGCAAGCCTCCATAAACCAGCAAAACGTACTTTCCATTGCCTTCAGAGACGATGAACTTGGGAAGAGCAATTCCGATGCTGAAGCTCTGCTTTCCATCTGGGTGGCCGTACTGGATATAGTTGTTGCGGATCTCCTCATCGGTCAGTGCCTTGTAAGCCTTGGTCAGCTCCACGAAGCGATCGTTGAGCATCTCAATCGTCTCATTCTTCGCTGGGTCGGGGCGGATTTTATCCGGGTGGTAGATCAGGGACAGACGCTTATAGTGTTTTGAGATGGCTTTTTCATCAGCACTCTATTCAAATGTTAGTTTTTTCGGTATAGCGGAACGACTCTCCGAAAGGAACCACACACCCTTGAAATACCCAAAATCTCATATGGATCCCAGATCTTCGGTGCCGTTCTTGCCGTTACGATGATCAGATAGATCATCCAGGCCATGACCGCATAGCCGATCACGACAGTGGCGATGCGCTTGATGCGGCGCTCTCTACGCAGACGCTTTCGCTTCTGCGCGTCGATGAGGTCCTCATCGTCGGGCTTGAAGTCTGATTTTATTCGAGGCGCAGTGTTTTCAAGCTCTGTCGAACGCAACAAAGAACCGATATTAATTTATGACCGAATTCTCCAGGGAAATCCACCACGACCTTACCTTTGCTTGGTTTGAGGAGGTTGTATGTGAGAGGAAAGGTGACAAGACCGGCCAGAGTCAGAATAAAGAAGGGAAAGAATTGACCCTAGAAGAGTGTAAGCAAGCGAACGGCCAGCATTCTCCTTGTTGTGGTGCCTCTCACCTGTTCATCATAGTTGTAATCCGTGGACGACATGGCTAGCCGAGGGAGAGCAGACGGTCAGCCCGTCCGCAGTGAGGGCAGTCGCCTAGAAAGAAGTAGAATCCAGAATTTCCCCGGTGTAAGAGAGCGGCAGGAAAAAGGACCAGAGCGAAAGACCAGATTGACCGACTGAAGTGAAAGAGCGGGCAGACGACCTCGATTGGATATTATTATTGATGGTCCCATCGATAGACCGTGTCCTTTCCAGGGTCAAAAAGAGCGTCACCGCCTGCCTTGTATGGACTAGCCGTGGATAGGACGATCACTGTTGGTCTAGCCTAATTGGGAGGGAACTATCCCTAGATAGGTGCCTTGGCAGCCTTAGGCTACTACCTAGTACTTAGCTCAGTCATCTACGAGGAAGGTCTTTACAGAGAGATTGGTATTACTTATTGTTCATTTAAGCTACTGCTATTCACATACAGCAGGCTCCAAGCAATAATCCTTGGATCGAGTGACGAAGCTCACGGTTCTCTGATTCTCAGCGCTTGAATATTTATCAGCGTGAAGCTATCGTCTTTTTGGTTTTTTTTCCCCAATGCCTCACACGCTCCACTCCCGAGTAAAGTATATGTAGTATTCTGACCATCATCTCATCCTGGATCTGTGCACGGGTGTGCCAGATCTTCCGTGGCTGATCGGAGCCCACGCCCACGCCGCTTCCTCGTGAGGAGCTCCAGCACCGAGAGATGCGAGCACCGTCTCACGCAGAAGACAACTGGAGGGCGTTCGTCATACAACCAGCCGTGTGGTGTGAGGTGATAATGCCGCAGATCCATGGCGTCAAGTTTTTTTGGAAAGACCAATCCAATACCCCGTTGTTCGGGAATATCTTCATTGCTGCAAGTCGGAAACTTGACTCATGTTCTGGTGTCGTTCTTTTTTTTTTTTTCGGGTGGGTGTTTTTAAAGAGGGTTTTCCATCGGTGTCAGCCTGGGTACGAACATGACCCGAGACCACTAGGGTACTTGGACACTGCTCTAGTGGGTTGTTCTGGCTTTTTTTTTCCCCCGTTATCCCCTGGAGTATAGGCCGGCACAAAGCGCAGCTTTGTCCCGGAAGAATCACAATGGTTCAGTCGCCAAGATAACCCAGTCTAAAACACGACGGCATCGTTAGAAACTGCCCATCTCAACAACCAACGCTTGGCGGATGACTCACGAATCAATATAGTCGAGCCGACCAAAGTACTCGAGCATGCGATAGCAGAGACCAACGTCGTCACCAGGCTCGCCGCCAAACAGTCGGCACTGCTCAGCCTCCACCCGGAGCCGCAGGCTGACCGGTTCCTCCGCGGGCTGCCATCCCGAGAGCCCCTGCAGATGCCAGGACGGGGCGCAAGGCGACGGGATGGATTCCGCGCGGTGATTCAGGTCGAGCTGCTGGATACTGCTGTTCCGTGATCGGGGGCGAGTCTTGCGTCTGTTGTGTCGTTGGCCCATTTGAGAGAACTCCCGGAGTAGAATAGGATAAGGAGGTGCTGTTTGGATGTCTGATTATCTATCTATTCGTACTCGTTTTTTGAAAAGAATCGGATCTTTTGGAGAGGAGTGACCGTCACCCCGGTAAGGATGAGATGAGAGGGAAAAGAAGGGGGAGACTTTCTCGGGCCATGGCGTGGAGTGATCCGAATATATAACCGGCGTAGGGCTGTTGTGTCATACGGGAAAAGTATGGGATGAGTCGGTGGTGTGACTCACTAGCACACAATGCCGGTCCACTTCGGGTACTTCGGCTTGAGGTACAACTCACCTTATTTCAGGTTTCAAAGATTTTTACTCTATTATTTGTTTATTACTATTAATAATAAGAGATTCTTGGTTCACTTGAAAAATTCTTTTGTAGTCAGTCATGTATGACTCAATCTTGTTGAGTAGTACCTGGGACTAGTTAGTTAGACTTACTCCGTACACTGTACTAGGTACTTATGTAGTAGTACAGCAGATCATGAGATATCCCCATATCGATACGGTATGAATTAATCTAGGTTATCATATGTACTACATAATAATAAGTATACTATAGTATAATATAGTATAATAAGTATAATATACTATAATATACTATAATATACAGAGTACTATAGCTTATAGAAATGAGAGATAGAAGATAGAAATGCATTCCAAACCTCAGACTACACAAATACTATGGGCTACTGACTACTACGAATAATCTCAAGCATGGCCTCCCCCTTGGGCGCAGTGGTTAGATTCTCGTATCCGTCGCGCGTGACGAGGATGTCGTCCTCGATACGCACCCCGCCGACAGGCAGATACCGCTCCGCCACGTCAAAGTCGATGTAGCGAGCCAGCGGCAGCGTGCGCGCGTTGGCCAGCGCGTACTGCGAAAAGTAGATGCCTGGCTCGATGGTGACGACCATGCCTTGGTCGAGAACGGGCGCGGCTGCCGTGCACGGCGAGTGAGTCATGGACGGTGCCGGCAGGACGGACGCGTATCGGGCATACTGTTCCTCATCCATGGCCATGATGCTGGTCTCGGAGACGTCGTGCACTTCCAGCCCGACGTGGTGGCCTAGTCCGTGTGGAAAGAAGACGGATGAGGCGCGCGACTGGCGGATCTCCTCGGTAGAAAAGCCGCGGCGGAGGACGCCCAGCTCGACGAGTCCCTCGATGGCAACGACGTGAGCCAGGACGTGGAGGTCGAGGAAGCGCACCCCCTTGCGGATCCTCTTGATACACTCTTCCTGCATCCGCTCCACAATGGTGTAGATACTCTTCGCCTCGGCACTGGGCCAGCCGTCGTGTTTGCTGCTGCTGCTGCTGCTACTACTACTGCCCAGCGGGAACGTCCGAGTCACGTCGCTGGCGTAGCAGTTCCACTCGGCGCCCGCATCGAGACAGACCAGTTGCCGGCCGGCCAGCGGCTCGTTGTTCTTGACGTAGTGCAGCGTCGCCGCGTTCTCGCCGGAACCCGCGATGATCTCGTACGCCTGGTTCCTCGCCCCGTGCGAGATGCACGTGTCCAGGAAGATCCCCTCGATCTCGGCCTCGTTCGTCATGTCCCGGATCTTCTCCAGCACCTTCCGGTGCGCCAGCCCCGAGACCTCGTTCGCTCGGCGGATCATCCGGATCTCGTACTCGTCCTTGATCCCACGCACGGCATCCATCGCCGGCAGCAACCGCTCGGCATCCAACTTCAGCTCCCGTCCCTTCTTGACGACGGGTTTGTGCTCCGGGTGCAGGATGTAGATCGAGCTCGTTCCGTTGTACTTGTTCACCCAGCGCTCGACATCACTCGCCAGCGAGGAACAGTACCGCACCTGGTCCACATCGTACCGCCTTTCGGCCTCCTCCTTGGTCAGCGTCCGGCCGTTCCATATCGCCAGGCTCAGGTCAAAGTCCGGAATGTACAGCGTCAACCGATCATGCTCGATGTCGTACGTCGCGTAGCAGTCCGCCTCGTCGATGCCGGTCACGTAGTAAAAATATCGTCTCTGGCGGAACGGTCGTGCCTGGTCGGAATCGATCAGGTTGATGGTCGGTTGGCCTACAAGGTACACCAGACCAGACGAAACCCCCAGCTTCGCAGCAACTCGCCGGGCGTGTTGTTTTGCTAGGTAGGTATTGTGTCAGTTGCATGCAACACCCTGTGTCACGGCTTTTCTTTTCAAACCCTCTAGGGAGGGTCAAGTCAAGGCTTCCCTACCAGGATACTTGTCACACTCCGCCATGTCCAGGGTCAAGCTGATACTATAACTATCCACCGCGTTGAGCACCGTCTCCTGCTGCTGCCCTTGCGAGGGGGTCCAGGGAGCATCCATGGGAGAGAATCCAGGCACTGAATATCTTTCCCTCCTTTTTCCCTTTATCAATTCAACAGGTTCAAATTGTTCAATTGATTCTCACTCCCTCATTCCCTTCGAATCGTTGACTGTAAGGGCGGACGTGGCCCCTGAAGGAGTCGGCGCTTCCCTTATCTCTGATCGGGCGGGCCAGTCGCTGTCAAGGTTGCAATGCTGCACAGCGTCCGCCTGGATAGAGACATCTGTGCCTTGCAAGAATGTCATTTAACTAGAGAGAGAGAAAGAGAGAGGGATATATATAAATATATCGCTGTTTGTATTCCCACAGACTTCCCAGGGGTCCCGGGCTGCCTCTTCTCTCTGTGCCGGATGCGACCGTAGAGGCAAAAAAGCGACCGGAAGTGGCTCGGCCCATTCTTAAGGCAGCGTCATATCCAGGCCCTTTGCCATCTCACACCACCCACCCACAGTCTAAAAAAGCCTTTCTGCATTGTTTTCATTTGTGCTGGGTGGTGGTGAGATTTTTTTTGATTATTATTTGATTGAATTCACTGGCTAGGATTTTTTTTCTATACTAAACAAGCTCATTCCTCTTATCAAACAGTGTTCCCAGTCAATGAATGATGCGGGGATCTGAGGCATCGGGTCCCGGTGCTCGACTAGGCGTTCACACAATACTTATAGCAACAGCAATGCTACAATCCGCCATGGCAGCCTCCGGGGGCTTTGTGACCCTCACACGGTCTCTATCGATGGCTACACCTACTGCACACGATTCTTTCGCTCTCGCCGGGACGTCGCCGCCGCCGGTCGTCGTCGTCGTCGCGGACGACTCCTCGGCCGGGTCGACGGGCAAGGGCATCCTCATCGGCATTCTCTCAGCGTTTGGCTCGGCGGCGGTTGCGGTCGTGGCTCTGGCGGTCTTCTTCTTCTTCAAATACACACATCGCGGACGCATCATGCTCGATCGATTCGGGCGGCCGGGAGAGTTCGACGATGAGCAGGCGTTTGCGCGCGAGGAGGCCGAGGCGCTGGAGACCATGGATGACCTTTCACGGTCGGAATATCTACGATCGAAGGGTATGCAATTAGACAAGTCATTGTCTTGCGATTTTTCTTTTTCTTCTGTTTTGTTTCTATTTGATAGATGTGTGCTGATTTCTAGCCTTCGTCGAGGCAAACCCTCCCGAGTCCATGCAGACCGACATCTCCCTCTCTCAGTTCCTCGCCATCCAGGAAAAGGGCGTTTCCGCGTGGGAGTTCCAGCCGGAGCTGGAAATCGCCAATTGTTTCGTTGAGGGCCGCACGGAAATCGAGTTCTATGATTCAGAGTGCAGTGTTCAGACCAACTTGCCTGTACCGAAACAGAATGAGGTCTACTACTGGGAGGCGAAGATCTATGACAAGCCGGAAACCACGCTGATCAGTATCGGAATGACGACCAAGCCGTATCCTTTGTTCCGATTGCCAGGTAAAAAAAAACAAACAAATCGAGTCTTGAATTCTTTATCCTCTTGCTGACCAAATTAGGCTTCCATAAAACTTCGGTCGCGTACCAGTCCTCCGGCCATCGCAGGTATAACCAGCCGTTCACACCGGTCCCCTATGGCCCTCAGTTCTCCCAGGGCGACGTGATCGGAGTCGGCTACCGGCCTCGGTCGGGAACGATCTTTTTCACCCGCAATGGCAAGAAGTTGGATGACATGGTACACGGCCTCAAATCGCAAAACTTCTTCCCCACGGTCGGCGCCAACGGACCCTGCACCGTTCACGTCAACTTCGGCCAGATGGGCTTTGTCTTTATCGAAGGCAACGTCAAGAAATGGGGTCTGGCGCCCATGACGGGCAGTCTGGCGCCCCCTCCCCCCTACGGCAGCGAGCAAGGCAGCATCCTGCTCGAATCTGGCCGCGAGAGCGCCGCGCATGTCTCTCACCGTGACGCCGTGCGCATCGCCCCCGCCCCCAGTCCCGGTCCCATCCGTTCACCCACCGACATCTCCCTTGCCCAGCTATCCCATATCCCCTCCCACGACGACATCGGTGAAGGCTCCAGCACGGACGCCGCCGTGGACTCGCGCACTCCCCTCCTCGCGCCGGAGGATATCGACCAACAGGTTCCGCCTCCAAAGTACACCAGCCCGGGCGGCAGTCGTCGAGGCAGCGCTGCAGAGGACGGTGGTTCATCACCGCCTCCTATCCCCAGCTATGACGCTGCGGTCAACATGCACTCTGCCAACCGGTGATATCGAGCCTACCTACCTCTATTTTGCTTCTCCGATATCTACGCTGAGTTATTTTTTTTTCCTTTTTCATTAGCGGCTGGCTGGCGTTTTTGAGGGATTGTCTCAAAGTACGGATCCTTTTTCTTTATTATTATTCGGGTGCGTTCTGTTTCTTGTTATCCACGGCAAGCCTTCATCCAAGCCTTTGGCGCTTACACTCGGATGTTTCCCTGGCGTTCCTTGCAATGTTTCTCTCTCAACGAAGTCACGTACATGTGGGATCCGAAATATGGCTTTTCTGTATATGTCGCTTGTTACAGATCCAGCCTGGCCTGATACCTCCCTCCCTCTCGCACCTCACCTTGTGCGAGCAATATGATACCTAGGCATCACGCAGTTGCTGGACACGACACAGGAGTGGTGGTTATGTTGAAAGTGACATAATCACTCCATTACTTGTATTATCTAGTAGTTAGATGGTCTACTGCTGTTTGAACTTCTATTACAACTTGGTTCAACTGTAACTATTATTTTACTTAATACCCCGTGTTCGGGATCGTATTCCATCCACTCACTTTCTCCACATCCATCGCCACTTGATCTACGCATAGTCGTTCAAAGGAGCAGTTCCTCACGAAACTACAGGTGCTTTTGCCAGTTATTCCCTCGATATACCCTCCATCCTGCTGATCGATCGGGTCTGAGATCTTGATTTCATGCGTTCAGCTGGCTTGTGATCGGTTCCTGGTCCTTGCGCTGCTCAGCCTAGCTCCAGCTCCACACTTGATTTGACAGATAAACCGACGAGAGAGAAGGCAGAGAATCCGAAAGAGGACTTCGTCTGAAGGAAAATATATACGACTGGAAATCCTTGCCTGTATCTGGGCTGCCAATAGTTTCCGAGAGGTGCATGCGGCCTGCATCTTGCCTCCCCCCAGCCACAGGCCGATCGGGCTCTGTCTTTGTTTCACGCTCAACAATTCTTTCTTCCCATTGTCAGAACTGTCAAAGGGATTGAAAAATCTGTCAGCCATTGTTAAACAGGCAAGTTATGTTTAGTCACAGGGGTATAGCTGGATAATTTGACTGACATGGGTAGATTGCCGCAAAATACTTTTCAGCTACTAAGCGGAGACTCGACTCAAGAAAAACATTCACGATATCTAGAATCCCGAATCTCTCCTCTCAATGCATCTAGCCGGTCGGTGTATCGCCGTCTGTCTGAAGTGCTAAGAGATTGATCTCCGGTCGCTGTGCGACGGATTTGGCCTCACGACGAGCGGTCGTACAGAGCATGAGAACCAAACCAAACTGCTGTCTAGACAAGAGACACTCAAAAATAGACCCTTCCTCCGTCACATTGATATAGAGAATATGGCTGGCAAGGCGGCGTTTCAAGTCATTGTCCTGGTGAGTCTAGCCTGGTATATAATGACGGCGATGAGACAGACAGTCTCAGAGAGTCTCAGACAGACATGAAAAAACGTGGACAGATAGCTAAAAGAAAAAAAAAATGGCGATAGGGTCCCACCGGAGGCCCCCGTGAAGACAGCGTAACGGGCCTGCTGGTCCGATCGACATCCAAACAGTGGACGAGCAACTCGGTGATCGCGGTAGATGCAGGCACCCTGCTGGCAGGCATCATCCGGACCCTCGAGCGGTCGATGGCCGCGACAGCAACCCCGATAGCAACAGGGGCCACCATGACGCAAGGCCCGTTTACCGGGCTGACGCTGCCGTGCCGGACGGGGCAGGCCAACGCGGCGCACATCTTCCGCGAGATCATCGGCGCCGTCTTCATCACACACCCACACCTGGACCACCTGTCTGGCCTTGCGATCAACACGCCCATCCTCGAGGCCGGCGCCGGGCCCAAGACCGTCGCCGCCCTGCCCTCGACCATCTCCGCGATCAAGAACCACCTCTTCAACGACGTCATCTGGCCCAATCTCTCCGACGAAGACGGCGGCGCCGGTCTGCTCACCTATCACCGTCTCGTCGAGGGGGGTAACCCGCGCTTCGGACGCGGCGAGACAAAGGGCTACGTCCGCGCCTGCGATGGTCTCCTCGCCAAATGTCTCAGCGTTAGCCACGGCCGCTGTCGGCAGCGCTACCATCCCGAGACCAGCAGGCATCACCGCGTGGGGAGCTCTGTCTTCACTGCCGATCCGTTGATGTTGCCTTCGCGGGCCATCTCGGTAGACCTCACAGATGGGTATTTAAAGCAACCATTGTTGAACCGGTCGTTTTTGAAATGTTGATTGCTAATGTTCAGGATATATTCACCCGCCCGCTCTCCGCGATTAGTCGCCTCCACCCCCAAAGACGCATGGGCCACAGTCGAGAGCTCCGCGTTCTTCATCCACGACCACGCAACAGGAAGCGAGATCATCGTCTTTGGCGACGTCGAGCCGGACTCGACCTCGCTGGACCCGCGTAATAGACGTGTATGGGAAGTCGCCGCGCCGAAAGTCGCCGCGGGCGCCCTGCGCGCCATCTTCATCGAATGCTCCTACAACGACGCCACGGACGACGCCTCGCTGTACGGCCATCTCTGTCCGCGACATCTGATTGCCGAATTGTCGGTCTTGGCGGGGCTGGTCGTCGCCCGGCAGGGGACAGATCGAGAGAAGATGGCCACCTCCAAGATTAGCACCACCAATAATAATAATAATAATAATTTGAAGCCCGGGAAACGGAAGCGCGACCTCAGTCCTACAGACGGGGGGGAGCAAGTGAGTCCCAAGTCGAAAAGGGGTCAGAGAGAGAGAGCAGCAGCAACTACTACCACTACAGACGATGGAGGGTCCATTTCTAGAACAGAGAGGAATACAAATTCTCATGACACCAGCCAAGATGAACCCCCCGACCTGGTTCATGACGAACAAACCCCTTCCCTCGCCGAGGTTGTCGACGGTGACTCAGAAGAAGAAGAAGAAGAAGAAGAAGGAAAAGAAGGAAAAGAAGGTCTCAGGCACACGCGCTGGGCTGATCTACGCCGTCTTCCGCTCACAGGGTTATCCGTGTACATCATCCATATCAAGGACGGGTTGACGGATGGACCACCGCCTGGAGATCGGATCCTACAGGAACTCAGGGAACAGGGGGAGGCGGCAGGGCTGGGTTGTGAGTTTTTCGTGCCAAAGGGGGGGGAGGGGATATGGATTTAGCAGTAGCTTTAGTAATCTTAATTAATTGACTTATATACTAGTTACATACTATACTATAGCTGGGCAAAAACGTCCACCCATCTCTCTGGAGCGTGGCGGTCTTTCTTGAGAAGCGCCTCACCGTCCCGCGCAAAGACAAATAAATCTTCCTCGCTGCCCCATTCGCTCATCCCCATCACGCCGATGGGAACGCCGTCGTCGGAATAACCGGCGGGACAGCTGATGGCGGGACACCCCGTGAAGTTAGCCAGCCAGACGTACTCCATGTTCCGGATGGAGGAGGCTCCATCAGACAGGCCGTGGGAGAGGTCCGCGTTCCCGCCGGTGATCTTCCACCCGGGAATCGGCGTGGTGGGCGTGACAATGACGAGACCCGGATGCGTGCGGAAGAGGTGAGCGAGGTGCGACATCAAGAGTGCGCGCAGCCGCTGCGAGGCGATGAGATCCTGCGCCGTGACCTGCATCGAACCCATGCTGACCAGCACCTGGTTCGGCGGGGTGAGGCGCCGGATCTGCGCGGGGGTCACGCCAGAGGCGATCTCCGCCATGATGGTCAGCGCGTGCGCCCGCTGGCCCTGCACCAGGTAGGGGATGTCGATGTCCACGACGGTGTACCCCGGCTGGGAGCGGTAGTGGTCGATCGTCGCGTCGAAGACGGCGCGAACCGCCGGTTCGGCCCGGTCGATCCATGATCGGACGATGCCAATGGTTTTGGTGGTGGCATCTCCATTTTTAGTACTAAACAAGGCACTTTCGGTTGTAGGATCCGGAAACTGCGCCGAAATGGGGTCCTGTGCTGCAGGTGCTGGGGCGGCCATGACCCGGTATGCCAGCGCCAAATCGTCGATGCTGGCTGCCAAGGGCCCATAGGCGCCCATGGAGGAGGACAGGCCGACTGTCGGAGCGGCCGACACGCGGCCGTGCGACGTTTTCAGGCCCCAGACCCCACAGAATGATGAGGGGATACGAATCGACCCTCCTCCATCTACCCCCAGCGCAATGGGTACCAGGCCTGCGCCCACGGCGTAGCTGGATCCGCCAGAGGAGCCGCCGCAGTAGTACTGGGTGTTGTGGGGGTTCCTCGGCGTCCCGTAATTAGGGTTGTTGTTGTTTGTATCTGCTATTGTCAGAAACTCCCATCTAGGGAGATCCCGCTAGTTAAGTGTCATTGAGAAAGGAGAAGGAGAACTCACCCAGTCCGAGCTCATGCATGGTCGTCTTTCCAATGACAATGGCCCCCGCTTCCTCCCACTTCTTCACACACCACGAGGTTTCATCACAGCCGCCCTTGAAGTCAAGGTTCGTCCCCAACATCCGCTTATATCCTTTTATGTGCGCCTCGTCCTTGATGGCGACTGGAACCCCGTCAAGCGGGCCCAAGGACACCCCCTCCTGGTACCGTTTTGTCGACGCGTCCGCCGCCGCCCGGATTGCCTCGACCTGCGACTCAAGAAAGGCCGTCGAATGGTCCGTCCGTGGCTCGATATCGCGTTGGACAAGCGATAAAAGTGCGTCGGTCACAGCCCGGGGTGTCAATTCTCCCGACAGGTAGCGCTCCCGGTAGTCCACCGAGGTATAGTAATATCCAAGCCCGCCCTCGTTCTTTTTATCGCGCGCAGCTGGCACGTTCCGTGTGCCGCCATTCTTCTCCCTGTGCTCGGGGGATACGACGGGCACCACAGTCGGGTCATAACATGCGCCGTACCGGGTTAGATCTTTGATTTCGTGAATAACGTGGAAGCCGGCGTTCCGCCAGAAATGAGCCTGAACGAGCCCAATCGACCGGATTCTGCAAGGATACAATCAGCTGTGAAACGATATAAAGCCTTGCAACAAGGCTGCAAAGATCTCCAGCTACTTAGTAGTCAAGTACCTAGTAGTTACCTGGTAACTAAGTAGCTGGTACCTACTTACAAAGCAGCTCCAATGACCAAGGGATACCCCCTGAAGACAGGAATTGACTGGGCCTCCTGCTTGTACGGCACGACGGGGTGCTCGCAAGGCCGCGGGTAGTTGAGAAACCGACGGGAATCGCTCATGCTGGGCAACTGAATGCCTGATATGCGATGCGTGGATTGCGCCTGCCTGAGGCCATTGACGCTGTGGTTTGGGCGCCTTCCGGTTTGCAACTCCACGAGGCTTACGGCTAGCTTTGTTTGGTAGGCGGTCTGCAACGGGCCGGTCGCGTACCAAAGTATTAATTCTTATTATGTAATCAAGACTGGTCGAGGACAAGTCTACTCAGGCTATATTTTGAATCTATAATATACATACGCTAAAGCTTCAGTTTGATGCCGAATTTGTTCAGTCCCATCGCAACACCCGTGATGGTAGCTGCGTAGACCGTCAGAATGAGCATCGCCTGGGCGGTACTGGCATCGAGGGTGGAAACAGTCAGGTTGACGGCTCCGGTCAGGAGATTTGCAGCTAGGAATATGAGCAGGCCGTTCTGGTTGAAGGCGGCCATGATCTGGCTGGTAGCGGGGGGCAAGGTGCTACCGCGGTCGGCAGGCTTGTGAGCAAGGGGGAAAAGGAGGGTGTCGATCAGGCAGAAAAGGAAGATCTGGGCGTTGTTGAACGCGGCGATCCAAAGCACATATGGCATGTTCGCCAGTCGCCGCGATACGGGAATCTTAGCTCCGTATCCCAGGGCGTAGGTTGAATTGAGCACAAAGAGAATGGACCAGAAGAGCGATCCGAGCCCCAGACTGATCAGGGTTCTCCGGCGAGCCTGGCGTGGCGCCGCTCCACTACCCATGACGCGGACCCCGGCGGCCCGGCCGGCGAGGAAGATGGCCAGGTAGCCGAGGAAAGAGAAGACGCCTTCTCTATTCTTGGAGAGAAGATCTGGACCGCGCGGAGAGACGAGAATGTACGCTTTGAGATCGGTAGACTCCAGCACGACCTGATACAGGACGACGATGGCGAGGGAGAGGATCTCGAACGAGGGGACAAAGGCCGTCAGTGAGGAGAAGAGCTCGACGAACGGGGGGAGAAACCCGAGCGTGAAGAAGAAATTCCAATGCACGCCATATTCCGTGACATGCTCTGCGTAGTCGAGGCCCTTGACACTGTACAATCGAATCAACCCAAGAACAAGCAACGGGATCGAGTGTCGCGCCGAAACGGGCAGCCTCTGCGCCAGCGGTCTCTTCTCCTCACGCTCTCTGAGGACCGAGCGCGCAGAGACCACGCCAGCCGAGAAGACAAACGATCCCACCCCGAGGTCCATTAGCGACGTGCCCCAGTTCTCGGCCTTAGCGAATCGGCGGGGGAAGACCGGAAAGTCCACAGCCAGGATCGATAGGCAGGTTACCACCATCATGGCGCCGCGATAAGTCGTAAGAAACGGAAGCGTCGGCAGCGGCCGCGGTGCACTGTCTGCCCCGCCGGATTGCGCATCCTGACTTTGTTGCGCTGCGAATCGAGGTGGTCGCTTCGCCTTGGGGCGGGTGGGCTTCGGCGTGAGAAAGACCAGAGCCGCAGGGGAGAGCAGGAAGAGAATCAAGAGGAGTGGAGCGGACGAATACAACGTGGTGGCGAAGAGAATAGCCGAGACATTGAGGAGGAAGTCGGTCACCAGCGCGGTGGGCGTATATGGCGAGAAAAACGAGCGGCGAGCTTGCAGGGCCGACCAGAGCAGAACCGACACCTGGAAATCGAGGGGAAAGCTCCGAGTCAGAAGAGGCGGATTATCAAGAGAAACCACAAGAACCGTCGCTTACAGGAGCAACCAAGGTGACAGCATTGATTTCCCAAATGCTGCCCCCGGAGAGATTGGAGACAAAGGCCTCCTTTCGCACTTTGTAGGTCGGGTCCATCGTCGGCGTGCCAATTGAGCACACTGGAGTAGCAGCAAATAATGCCAGACACCAGCAGCTAGCTTTCCATGGCCCAGTCCAGCTAGCTCATCTGCTGACTGTTTGATCCTTGCAAACGCGCTTGCCCAAAGGACAGATCGCGTCGACAGAAGCTCCAGTCCAGTTCCAGCTGTATGTGTGGGTGTGGGTGTGGGTGTGGAGAATTCTTGGGCTTGTACGAAGTGCTCCGAGGAGGTATCCGTAGGAGGTACTTCCAATACTTCCAACTAACTCTAACTAGGAGTAGCTAGTTAACTAGTTGGTTGGTTAGGAGGTAATTAGTACTCCGTAGATAGATGGTTGGTTGGGTAAGTTTGGTGGTTAGGCTAGGAAGTAGGAGTACGGAATAACTAGGGAGTAACTAACTAGGTACCTAGTAGTTACCTAATTGCATTGGATGTTGCGAATGCTGTACGGTACGGTACGGTAATAATGACGAGGAGATCCCCGCTGACAAAAGTACCATTTCAGGATTGCTATCCTGAGTGGTCGGATATAATTTCTTCGATGCTATTATTATTCATGACGATGAAATTAGCACACATACATAGTAATGAAAATGGCTGCAACTAAGCCTGAAGGCTGATGCAGTACTTCCAGAGCACCTCCTACGGAGTACCTTACCTTAGGTACCTGGTATGTACTCTGTACCAGGTAAGATTCGGTAAACCCGTTAAGCTGCTCTGCCTAAGAGAAGGTTCAATATTTAGTAATTTGTTATTTACCTCATTTCTATGGCTCCTGTGCAAAGAAGCGTTTGAAACAAGCCAACAGCCTTCGGTTATTATTACGGAGTATAATTCCAAGACAGAGCCCCTCCTCGGCTTTAACACGGTGTTGACGATCCACACACGATGATCGCGTGCGGCTCAACTGCCCTCGCAATCATCCCAAGTGTCGTGTGATGGAAGACGGTGGTTTCGACCTGACGAAGAAAACTATCCGAGTAGTACGCAGTAAGCAACTACTACAGTAACTTTCTAACCTGTTAGAAGGATGCTAGCAATTACCGGTGCTCCGATCAGCGGATCCTACAATCACGGTCCAGCATCGGCGTCGATCCGATCAAACTGAATGGATTATATTTTATGGTTACGGGGTTTCTAACTAATATTCTACATAGGACCGAGCAATGCTCCACACACAGACTCGATGGCCTGATGGTGAGATCCAGACATGATGGAAGGGTTCAATGCTTTGAAGGGGGTGGGACAACAAACCACTGGCGAGAGCCAGGCAGTGATGCTTGCGAATCAACCGAGAGGAACAACAAGTTTGGAGGAGACCCCAGCATCTTCGAAATGCCTACAACAAGAGCGGCGACCCAATAATTCCGACCTGGCCTGTAACTTGGTTACGGCATCCACATCTAGAGTACCGACTACCCAGATCGTCCGGCTGTCGGCAGCGTTGGAAGGACATCATAGATACGTCGTTGTGTTGGTCAATGCAGAGGAGAGATGAGATTGGGATCAGCAGGGAAAGAGAAACTATCAGCTACATGGGACAATGACTCCCAAGGCCAGGCTCAGAGTATCATCATCGGGATTCGTCCGCTCGCCTGACTTTACCTACGTGGTGAATCCTCCGTCCCAACTCCGGAGAAACCATAATAATAATGACAATAATTAATGCCGGTTGGTCCCACATAACTAGACTTCTCTCTAGACGGGATTATTACTTCTTACGATTCTTCCTGGCCCAGAAGCCCCTCCCGGAGGATACAAACACCCGCCTTTTTCTCTGGTACGAGTCCCACGAAGTGGAAAAATAAGCATTTTCCCGCATGCCAGACCTAGTATGTACGGAGTAGTTACTATGTAGTACTAGGTAGTTAGAAGATAACTAACTAGTTAACTACTAACTAACTAATTACTAGGTACCTAAGGCAAGGTACTCCGTAGTTTAGGTATGGGAGTTAGTTCCTAGTCAGAAGAAGCTGTAAGTAAGATTCTCCCCTACCAGGGGCGTGATATTTTTTTTTTTTCTATTTTTCATCCCCCCCCCCTTCTCCTTCGAAAAAGCAATACTACTACATACATAACAATAAATAATAATAATTAACTCGGGATAGCTTGTTGGATCGCCTCGGTGATGGGCAACGCCATGCGCCAGCCTTCCGCCTCCCGTACCCACGGGTTGGGGTGACTGCGCCGTATTTCGACTTTTCTTTGTTCTCAGCAACGCGAGGCTTTGCTGGTTGCGACGTCGGCCAATGATGGCCGGTCCAGCCCATCGTTAACTCTCGATCTAAATAGAGAACAAAGAAAAACGTCTCTCGACCGATCTTTGCTTCGGCGCTAGATTAGCCGGCCAAGGCTACGGAGTACATGACCACGTACATGAAGACAAATGATGAGGCCACAATTGTCCCGTCTGAATGTTAGTCTGCTGTCCGTCTCTTCCGTTGGCCCTGTTTCCTCTACCGCCGTGACAAGCCGACCTTTTTCCTTTTATAAGATAACGCGTTTGCGTTGAGCCTGCTGATACGATGACGATGCTAAGAATAACTTGGGTACTGGGTTTTTGGTAGTAAGTAGTTAGTTACCTAACTGTACTCCGTAATGATAGAGACTGATAATCTGAGAGCCATATTAGTTATTCCGTATTTTATACGAAGCAAGCGTTAGGGAGGTTAGGTACTTTACTCAATGCTGATTCGGAACCAACACACACTCTCTTCTTCCCCAAGCAGAACGCCAGTGACCTCACTCATCTGCAGTCCGGTCTCTCGATCCCCTTCTCGTCCCGTATCCACCGTCAACCGGTGGGCTTGTCGAGAACAGGGCGAATATAGGCCCCGATCCCCTGTACTTCGGAGGTGGCACACATAACGACTGACTGGGTCCCGCAAATCCAAATCTTAGTGAAAAAGCTTTTTCTAGCTTGCAGTCGCACCCCTGACCACCGTCGTACTGTAGTAGACTCTTGGAAAGTCGACAGCTCTAGATGGTGGAGCCTGGTACCTCATACTAGTACATGCCTTTCCACCTGCTGTCGCCCCCCCTCCCCTAGCAGATGGAACCTGCTACTACAGGGCTGTCGGCCGTTCGACTTGGGAGATCATTGGTCCCAGATAATTAGGAAGGGTCCATCTGCGGACGACGCTCGGAGGATGATCTGTCTAGATCATGGAGTCTGAGCGATGGTGATCTGGAGAAAAGGAACGGTTCCATGCCGGGAGTGAGGGTGGTATTTAAACGATGGCGGCACCTCCCGAAAGTGGAAAGCTTGCAACTACACCTGAGTACACCTCCAGCAGCTTCTCTCTCTCTCTCTCTTTCTTCACCGTTCAGCCTTCTTTCATTCATATTACACATATTTGCCTCTTCTGTATCTGTTTTTACTTCTCATTGTTTTTTCTTACCATCCAGAACCCACGCAATGAGATTTGACCGCCTCAAGTAGCGCGTCTGCAGCTTCGAGGAGGCTGCTCCATTGCACCAATAGGTACGTAGGACAATAATTCATCTTCTCCTGTTTGTGAGACATCTCGCTGACCAGTCAGTCTGTAAAAAAGGCATTATGGGCCCTGGGAAAGAAGCTACGGCGCCCAGGCGACGCGAATCTCGAGCTGGAACACGAAAGGTCACGACCCTCTCGGCCGAACAGCTGGAAAGGAAGAGGGCCAATGACCGGGAGGCGCAGAGAACCATCCGTCAACGGACCAAAGAGCATATTGATAGGCTGCAGAGGGAGGTTCAGGAGCTGAAAGCCAAGGGAGAGCAGTACGACCATTTGTTCCAGCACAACATGGAGCTACAGGAGGAGATTTCTCTGCTCAAAAGCCAGCTGTCCATGAAGCAAACCTACTCGGACTACTCTGAAACTGGTAAGAGCGCCTCTGGAAGTTTATCTCGTTCCGAGCGGAGCAGCCTTTGATTCTTCGAAAAAAAATCAGACACAGAGGTGCCTCGATCCAGGCAGACAAGCGTCGCTTCATCGGTCTTACCCGCCTCTCATGCCCCGGCTCCGTTCAGTGAAATTGCCATCTCGCAAGCACCATCGGACGTGTCATCATCTAGCCGAGCCTCGGTTTCCCATGACTGGCCATACCCATCCACTCGACCCCCCTCCACCGGCGAGCTTCCAGAAACGGACTATCCTCGCGAGGGGAAACCATACCTCCTCGACAGACAAACTCAACCCGCCCAGGGACCTCACACAACCTCGACTGCCTATTTAGGTGGAGCGAGTCAGTATGGATATAGCGCCCCTGGGGATGGTGTCCGTCTCGCTGCACCCTCGATCCACCCCTATCCACCTCCTCCTCACCATTATCCTCCCGTAAGTGCCAGTCAGGCACAAGGCGAACCGCTGCTACCTCATCTCCAGCACCCTGTTGCTTATCATTCCGGTCATCGATCAATGTCCGTGCCGACTATCTCTATGGAACGAAAGCAAGACGGTCGTCCTCTGGCTCAAACTCTCCCGCCGTTTACGGCCCCCAATCATGTCGGTCATGTACCTGTTACACCGCCGTATCCTCCCTATAGCTGGACATCTCAAGCGTGAATCGGGATCTTGCACAGGACTGGCTTTTCAATCGGCCTTTTCTTGGTCCGCTGCTCGCATTCCCCAAGCGTGGGGGGAAGAGAAGAAGACTCTCTTCCTTCTATTTGAGCTTATAAAGAAGCCCGTAGGAGGTCCCTACGACTTCAGACGGATGGTCTCCATTCGCACTTTGTGAGGCAGGCATTGGCTCTCGGTCGTTCTGTCAAAAACAACTCTCACACAATAGTAATTGTGTTGAGACGGCCCTAACGTACACGAAAAAGTATGACTTGATGTGGAAGAATTGGCCATAAGACAAGGATCTTTGAGACGTCATTGCGTTCTCCTGTCCACCAGGGGAAATTTTCATGAATAGCATGCATGATGAACTGTAGGGACAAACTCGAGAGATACCTAGATATATGCACCACGCAGGTCTGGTTTCATCCCCACCAGGCTGCAGATATATTTATCTATATTATGAGACATGAAAAGTCTCTCAGAAAAGTCGTTTGGATATACCATGGAACAGTACTACTAGTTCCAGTCAAAAGAATTTTAAAATGTCTTAGACTGACAAGCCAGTCGACATGATTGTATTGCAACCCCTTTCTATGCATATACCTATTGAGTCAGACAAGAAATTTCGAAAAGGAGAAGAAAACTAATTCGTGTAGGTCTTCTGTAAGAGCTTTGCAATCGTCTGCAGCTGGATGTTACTCGTCCCCTCGTAGATGGCGCCGATCTTGCTGTCGCGGAACATTTTCTCGGCGATGCCCTCGCGGACGAAGCCCATGCCACCCATCCACTCGACGGCGGAACCCGCAACCCGCCCGGCAACCTGGGAGGCGTACAGTTTGGCCATGGCGGCATCCTGGACAAAATCCTGACCGGCCTCCTTCTTACGGGCGGCGTTGTAGACGAGGGCGCGCGCCGCCGCGATCTCCGTGTAGGCCTGCGCCAGCTGGTGCTGCATTCCCTGGAACGTACCGATGAGCTGACCGAACTGGCGACGGTCGTTCCAGACGTAACTGTCTAGTTAGTACTTGAATATCTCATATATCATAGAGTCTCTCAGGGAGGGGGGGGGGGGGAGAATACCGAGCTGCATTCTCCCAGGCACCGAGGGCTAAGCCTGTCATCTGAGCAGCGATGCCGATGCGGCCCTCGTTCAAAATGCTAATGGCATACTTGTATCCCTGGCCCTCTTGGCCGAGCAAGTTGGCGGCGGGGACGAGGACATCATCGAGGTTGATGACGCAGGTGCTGCTAGCACGGATGCCGAGCTTCTTCTCCTTCTTAGCGATGGAGAAGCCCGGGGTGTCCTTCTCGACGACAAAGGCAGAGATGCCCTTGTATCCCTTGCTAGGGTCAAGGTTGGCGAAGACGATGAAGATGCCCGCCTCCATGGAGTTAGTGATCCACATCTTAGACCCGTTGAGCCTATAGCCCGAGCCGTCGGCCGTTTTCTCGGCTTTGGTCTGCAGGGCGAAGGCGTCGGAGCCAGACACCGGTTCCGACAGACAGAAGGAGCCCACGGTGCCCGTCGCCAGCTTGGGCAGCCAGGTGCGCTGGGAGCGGGCGTCACCGTGCGTCAAAATCGCCGTGTTGACCAACGTGTTGTGCACGTCCACCAGCACGCTGACGCTCGGGTCCACGCGCGCCAGCTCCTCGATCGCCACGATCGCCGACGTGAAGTTCATTCCCGCGCCCCCGTACTCCTCGGGAATCTCGATCCCCATCAACCCCTGCTCAAACAGCTGCGACACCACGTCCGGGTCCATCGTCTCTGCCTCGTCCATCTCCCGCACCTTCGGCCCGATCTGCTCCGTCGCGAACTTGGCCACCGTCTCCGCCATCAGGGATTCTGTTTCGGACAGGTACGTGATCGGCGTTGGCGTCAACCCGCTTAGATCCGTCTCCCGCCGGCGAAGAGTCGTAGAGAAGGCATGTGAGCTATAGTTTTTTTATCAGCATCTATTGGTTTCTTTTTTCTTTTTCTTTTCCTTTGTCAGCTTCAGGTTCATACCAGTGAAGCGGTCGGTAGGTCAGTCGGAGAGCAGGGCGAGCCAAGGGCCGCAACACGCGTGTGAGAGACGCCATGGAAGACAGTGACTTGAACTCAAGTGATCGAGATTCTACCAGTAAATGTAAAATCTTCAGTTAATCCGGGAGAAACCATAAACCTGAAGACGTGGTGGTGGAATTAAAGTAGAGATGCTGGAGAATCACGAGGGAGCCCCAGGCTTCTTACGTCAAAAACAACCTCGGCTAGTTGCGGTTATCCCGCGGAGTACAACAACATTAGTAAATACTGAACAGTGCTTAAACTTATGCCTCTCTATAGTTACTACATAGCTACGAGCTCTATAGAACTGACTAATACGGAGTATACTACATGGTTTCGAGGCTAATCTTTGTTACTAGGTTAGTATCAAGTCCTGTTTGGCTAGCTATCTCATGGCTACAGACAGGTACGGAGTATACAACAGCGTTAAACTAGCAGATAACAACTTGACCAGATATCATTGGATTTCTAACCAGCTATATATCAAGTATTGATTCTATTCGCGGCGAACCTTCCAGTCTGTTGGTTTGGACACCAATCAGGTTTTGCCAATAGCCTCGGCGGCTACAGTGGCCAAGGTGTTATATGCAGTATAACTAATGAATAGGAACTACCTATTCTACTTACACAGAATCATGATAAATGTGTCAATTCATCGAGTGATATCTCTTTCTACTTCAAATGGCTAGTGATAGCTCATTCATCTGTTGTTTCTCCCACTCTTATTCCATCTGCCTTGAGAACGCCACCTGTCCGTCAATGGCACGCCACACCTCACGTGTATGTGGCGCAGCAGCCCCTCCCCTGTTGCCAAGAAAGGCAAGGCGCTTATATTGTCGCTTGAGGGCTCTACCCCGACCTTTTGTTCTTGATCTTCTCTGGATTTCTTTTCTCTCATTCCTGATGACTCTACTACCTCTACCTGGAGCTTGAGCGATTCTTTATTGTGATATATAAGAGTTTTCCAAGCCAGAGTCGACTTTGTTTTTTTTGCTATTCTTCCCGCCCCATCGACGTCATAGCGCTATCCCAACGATAAGGCTTGCATATCAGAACCAACGAGGGTTGCACCAGGATGGCATCTCATCATGATCCCCGTTTGCTCTACAGCATCAAGAATATCCGGGCGTTCCATATTCAGAATGGAAAGGAATCGGCTCTCACTCCATCTGGTCCTCAGACCCTGTCTCTCCTGATGGTCCCCACGACAACGACGTTCCCTGAGCAGCCCAACACGGCAGTCCCCTCAGAACCCCCAGAGGAGGAAGACTTCTACCTCCATCTACATCTTCCGCCAGAACTTGACATGGCTCTCCCTGCCACGGCGCAGATCTACCACCAGCCGCCGAACAGCTATCTGATTCCCCGCTGGGATATGGGACCCGACGCAGGAGCCTTTATTCGAATCGAGTTCCCTGGCATTGGGTCTGGACCCCAAAAGGTGACTCAGGAGGATGTAGACACCTTTGAGACCATTCTCGCGCAATGCACCGCGTTCTTGGAACGAGAGACCGCACCATCGGACTGCGCGCTTTATAACCCGGCCGATTACGCCCCTGGGGAAGGCTATATCTCTTCCTATGATAAGACTCCGGCAGAGTCTCACGGCAAAATCGTTTTGGTGGATGAGGAGGATGGTAGTGTGGTTGGTGAACTGACAGACGGCTACGAAATTGTAGAGAAACCCGACGTCAAGCCTGGGTCGAAAAGTGAGTTCCCCCCTCTTCCCAAAACAGAACCTGAACTTGTTTTTTAAGCTCCCGTTGAGGTCGAACTACCGAGAGAAGGCGAAGGGAACCAGATCAGTGTGGAGAATGCATCTCCCGAGTACCTTCGCATGGCCCGGCATCCGGCGTACAAAAACTCGACGATCGTGCAGACGTCTGCGACGGCGTCACGGCTGATTGTGACGGGGTCTGCGTACCTTGCCAACGCGTTAACCAACGGGGCGGACAGTTTTGTCAAGAAGACCAATCCAAATCCCACGCCGCTACGATTCTCGGAGACTACACAGACGCGGATCCGCAAAATCAACACATTCTCGCAGGATGCAGCCAGTCTCTCGGCTCGGACGGTAGGCTCGGTAAGCCGGTACGCACAGAGCCTGGGCGCCACTTTAGGCCGGCACAAGGAGAACGACAAACGCCGGGCAGCAACAACAGCAGCTGCTGCAGGAGGAGGCAAGACTGCTGGACCGTCGTCCGGGGCAGACTACAAGCCTGGGATCCTGAACAAGTCGATGATTGCTTTTTCCACACTGGCGGACGGGATCGAGCACGGCGCGCGCGCCATGCTGGCCTCAAGCTCGTCCGCGGCCAGCACGATGGTTTCCCATCGGTACGGGCCCGACGCGGGCGCCATCGCCGCCCACCTGACGGGAGGGTTCAAGAACGTGGGCCTGGTGTACATCGACGCGACCGGGGTGAGCCGCAAGGCGGTGCTGAAATCCGTCGCTAAAGGGATGGTGGTCGGTCGTATGAGGAACGGCGACCAGGTTGTCGTTGGCGGTGGGGACGGTGGGGATGTGGACAATCCTCCTCCTCCTCCTCCTTCTTCTTCTTCTTCCCCTTCCCGTTCCCCTTCATCCAGTAGTGCTTATGGTACAGTTCAGGGACGTGCTACGCCACCTCCCGGTTATGGTTCCCCGGCGCCCACAACTCTGGGAGGTACACGAGTGCCGGGGCGAAAACGATACCTTTAGTTTCTGGTTTTTGTTTTTCTGTTCGGTTCGGTTTCACTTTTGAGGTCTTACAATATAACGATAGTCTACGTACAGCCTATACTCTGTACTATTTATAGGAAGATAGTTATTTAAGATAGTTATCCCAAACCGAGTTTATATCGTTCTAATCCTCTAGCTAATGTCAAGCCGGTAGGTATTCTCGTAGATCTGGATCAAAAATGACACTTTCATGGAGAATTCTGTATATTAATTGAGTACAAGCGTTGAGAACTACCAGGTACTATCTCGATGGTTGACGCGACGCACTGGATATGCGGTGGCAGGCATGTAAGTGGGTGGGACAGCCTACAGGCTCGTGAGCCATGTGGGCAGTTGGTAGTTAGTTACATCTTAGGTACCTGTAGTTAGTAGTCGACGATGGTAATTTCCAAGTACCAGCTATGTAGCATGTGAATTGAACTTTTCTATCCTAATGACTTTGTTATATAAATACTATTCCTAGGCAATTTACTATAACTATTCTTCTTCTCCTACTTCTTACACTAGTTACTACATATGTCTACCTAGGTAGGTAGATATGGTAAACTTACTAGGTGAAATGACTAAGCCATAAGCCTATAAATGAGTGCCACGCAGCCTACAGTCCTTGCATAAATTATATTGATGGATTATCTGTCGTATGGAGGCCTATGTGATATGGAACTCTTATATCTGGATACAGGGATGTCTACTTTATTGACTATCATACAAGGAGTACTACGAGTATAACTATAACTAACTATTTACTATTTACTCTACTATAGCATACTAGTAACCATCAACTAGGTACCTAGGTATAGCTAACTAGGTAGATAGTTAATAATAACTAATAGGTAACTAATGATGAAACGATCACTTAGTCATAGATCTGGCGCTAATTAATTCAGCAGGAAAGTACCTCGAAACTAAGACCTGAAACAACCCTTAATCTTGAGTAAACAAATAAGCACGGCTATCGAATACTACCACCAGGACTCGGATTATGTAGTAACTTAACTACTTAGGTAGCTACCTAGGTAGTTATCTAGGTACGGAGTAACTAACTGCCAAGTACTTACGAAGTAACTACTTGAATTCAAATAATATTACTACCTGATAGTAGATAGTCTCCCTGCCAGTTATCAGTAAGGAGGCGATCAGCACCTGTACGGGGTCTTTGATGTCAAGGACCTACAGTATACTTTATCTATCAGCATAATAATAATAATAACAATAATAACAACAATAATAATAAACTCAATCTCAACCAGACCACTGGTTGTTGTGTAGTTCGGTACACCGGAACTCTTGCACTTACTTGGTCGACCCATGATCAGCTTCATCCTCCCTCTCACTTCATCTCCTCACCCTCTTTTCACCCTCCCTCCCTCCCTCCCTCTCTCTTTTTTTTTTGTTTTTTTCCCCCTCCCTCTCCTTCTTCCGTACTCCTTCGTTTGTCTCTCCCTTTATCTCCCATTCTGGTGTGTCCACCGCTTCTCAGCCTGGTCCACCGCATATTTCTTTCCCCCCTGGCCGCCCTCGACCGCCCCTCTGAGTTTAGTCGCTCCCTACCCGCCTTAAACTACCACCGCCTACCTTTGGACCCCCCCCTCCCAACGCCCCCCCCCCCCATCATGCTCTGCGACGTGGCCAGCCCTCGATCTTGTCAATTCCAGCAGCAGCAGCAGCAGTGGTGAAGAAAGCGTCTGTGTGTGTATGTGTTGTGAGTGTGGCTCCGTGCGGTCTGTGGTTCCCTCCGGGTGCCCTCGTCGAGTGTTGGTTTCCGCCCCTTTTTGTTACTGGGGCTCTTCGCCAGGCGCGTCAAACAACTCTCTCCCCGTTCTCCTTTCCGCGTGGGAGCCTCGTCGTTTTCTCGGAGCGGTGCGACCAGAACATAAAATATAGGCTGGAGACAGGCCGTTCTGCAGAGCAGGTAATAATATCCTTGCTTTTTTTTTCCCCTTCGTCTTTTCTTTTTGTTCCCCCCCCCGTACACCTCTGTCGTTCTCTCCCTCCCGACCGCGTTTCAGCCTCATCTTTCAGATGCCCGACCTCTCTCCCTCACCACCATTTCCACTGACTTGGACAGATCATCGTGCCCTCTGGAGGGCAAATTCACGTGTCGTGAGCTGCGCTGGACCGGAGCGCCCATCAATTGGCCTGTCATCCACGTGTAGCTGAAGCAAACGAAAGGTATGTCGCGACAAACGACCCGCCGCACATTCCTTATAAACCCGTGGGAAAAAAAAATGAAGGCCCACGCTCGGTCGCTAAATCTATTTTTTTCTTTCTTGTGTAGCATTCTTTCTCCATGTCTACGTCGACCACGGCGATGACCGCCCCGCGCCCGCAACCGCTCTCCGTCTCGCCCGGCCAGTCTACCCGTCCTAACAACCACTTTCCTGACCTGCTCGGCACGCCTCCGATTCCTCCTCCAAGGACCTCGTCTACTCACCGCAGTCAATATAGTCCAAATTCCAGCTCGCGGCCCTCCAAAAGCAGCAGACGCGAGGAGAAGCAGCAGCAGCAGCAGCAACAACAACAACCCCGGGACAAGACCATCGAAGCAAGAGACACCAACAGTCATGACCGTTCGCAACGCTCCAATCCCCGGACCTCGCCAGAACAAGAACAGGGTGTAAGGTCTGGCAGCGCAAAGGGTGCCTCGGGCCAGATGACCCCTGTCTCCGTCGGTCAGTCCCGCTCGGACGTCGGCCTGGAAGCCGCCGCCTTGATCAAGGAGTCGAGTGCCATCATCAATCAGATGCTCGTCAGTGAGCCCGTCGTCGATATCGAGCGCGAACACGCACGCCAGGCCAGTGCGCGAGGGTCGTCACCCCCGTCTGCGGTCGACACCGATCCCGCCGCCGCCTCCTCATCCTCCCCTCCGCCTCCTCCTCCCACGTCCGGCCTGGCTGTCGTCGGCAGTGATGGCGTCGACGATGGGGGCCGCGGCGCTGGGACTCGCAGCGGCGGCCGCAGCAGCAGCCACAGCAAACGCACGGGGACCACTTTTGGCTCCTACATCCTCGGCCAGACCCTCGGGGAGGGTGAGTTCGGAAAAGTCAAGCTAGGCTGGAAGAAGGACGGTAGCGTGCAGGTGGCCATCAAGCTTATCCGGCGCGAGTCTCTCGGCTCCAACCCCGGCCGCCTGCCCAAGATCTACCGTGAGATCTCCATCCTTCGTGACCTCGCCCACCCCAACATCGTCCGCCTGCACGAGATGGTCGAGACCGAGCGCCACATCGGAATCATCATGGAGTACGCCTCGGGCGGCGAGTTGTTTGACCACATCCTCAACAACCGCTACCTCAAAGACCACGCCGCCCGCCGTCTCTTCGCCCAGCTCGTCTCCGGTGTCGGCTACCTGCACAAGAAGGGCATCGTCCACCGCGACCTCAAACTTGAGAACCTCCTGCTCGACCGCAATCGTAATATCATCATCACCGATTTTGGTTTCGCCAACACCTTCGACCCCGCCGATGAGCTCGAGGAGGAAATCGAGTACAACCTCACAAACAAGGAGTTTGTCAAGCGTATGCAGCTCGACAAGACCAACAGCCAGGGCCTGCGCCGCGGTGATCTCATGCAGACCAGCTGCGGCAGCCCCTGTTACGCTGCCCCGGAGCTCGTCGTCAGCGATTCCTTGTACACCGGACGCAAGGTTGACGTTTGGAGTTGTGGTGTCATCCTGGTAATTATTATTTTCCTTTTCTCTCTAGTTTTTTGCTTCATCGATTGGGAATTTTTTGATCACTAATTTCTTTTTTTTTCCCCCTTAGTATGCAATGCTTGCAGGATATCTTCCCTTTGATGATGACCCTGCCAATCCTGATGGTGACAATATTAATCTACTCTATAAATACATTGTCACCACCCCTTTGACCTTCCCTGAATATGTCACCCCCCATGCCCGTGACCTTCTCCGACGTATTCTGGTTCCCGATCCTCGCAAGCGCGCCGATCTCTTCGAGGTGGCCCGCCATAGCTGGCTGAGTGAATATTCACACGTCGTTTCGCACATCACTAGCAGCACCACCAAAGTTGCAGACATTGCCAATACGACGGTTCCATCAGGTAGATTTCATGTCTTTTTTTTTTTTTTTTTTTTGGGAAATTCCCACTGACACAAACAGAACGCCAAGATGGCCCCTCTCTTACCCGCAGCGCCTCCGTCCGCGAACCCCCCAAAACATACCAGAACCCCGTCCCCACAGTCGGCGGCCTTGTTCATCAGTCGGGCGATATCTCTCAAGATCAGCTGGAAGAGAAGGCCAAGACCTCTCGGGATGCCAAACGCCGGACCGTCCAGGTGGAATACGTCGCACCGCAGTCCCAGACCACTCGGGGAGAAACCGTGGGCGCCGGACCCGAATCCTCGGGGACCTCTCGCGCTCGCGCTGGATCCGAGAGCCGTGGTATGGTCGAGAAGCCGCTGGATTCTGTACCACAGTCTCGGCCTCATGGCTCTCATGGCTCTTCTAGAGAATTCGATGGCCACGGCTCCGCTGCTACCGGTACCACCGCGGCACCTGCGCCTGGTCAGTTCCCACGCAACACCACCTCCGATGCCACCGTCCCTGTCACACAAGCCACCCGGCCGACCACAGGAGCCTCGATGGCGTCCTTCAACACCGGCCGACTGCCTTCTCGAGGATCGTACGGACAACCCGTGGCGCCTACTGTCGCGGCGACGACGGCACAGGGCCGCCTGGCGCAGCCGAAGAGCAAGCAGTACGTGATCTCGCCGCCCATGCCGCAAGACCCGAACCAATTCGCCTCTATCGGTCGCCCAAGCACCCAACAGCTGCCGGCCAAGTACAACGCCTCTTCCGACTCGACTACCACGGCATCGACCGCAACCACTTCTGCCGCCAAGGGGCACAAGCGGTCCAACACCGTGTCGGGCATCAGTGAGAAGATCTTTGGTCGGTCGGGCTCAATCTTTGGCAGTGGGAGTCGTGTGACCCCGAACAACGGCACCGGTAGCGCGCGTGTCAAAGGTAGCAAGCGGTACCCCCCCGTGAGCATGAAGGATCCGTTTACAGGGGAAGAGACGCGTTCCTCGATGGACTCGCGGCGTTCGGTCCAGTATGGGGCCGGACGCAAGCAGAGCGAGTCTGGTCCGGACCGCCCGCGCCGGTTCTCGCTGCTGCCCCCTTCCTTCTCCCTCAAGGGTTTCTCCTCTAGCCGCTCCCAGACCCCGGAAAGCGACCACGTGACACAACAGCCGCGACCTCTTGAGTCGTCGGTTCGAGGCCCGCCACGTCCAGCCACAGGTCCCGCGCGGACAACCACCCGTGCGCGCGCGACCAGCTACGGGCCCCAGGATGCGATGGGGATGGGGATGGTAACCGAAGGCCCTAGCGACGAGGTCATCACCCAGATGGAGCCGGTCAACTACCAGGCACACATCGACCAGCAATTTGCCGTGCTTCACGGCACCTCAACGGAACAGGGCTATGCCGGCAGTGAGTTTGGTCCTCAGTACTCAAACCAATCGAGCGCCAACTACTACGACGACTACAACAACAACAACAACAACAACAGTATGAACAATAATAATAGCAACAGCAACACTATCGGTCCGTATGATTCCATGGGCCGCCCGTCAATGCAGGCTACACGCACTGGCGGCAGCATCAACAACAACAATAACCGTGGGGCCGTGCTGCAGAAGAACACGCGCAAGTTCGCTGATGCGTACGAGTATGAGCGCGATCCGTCGCACCACTCAGGAAGCTCGGGGGCTGCGCGCAAGGTCATGGATTTCTTCCGCCGGCGGGCCAAGTCGCGGGCGGGTGAGGATCGATAGGCCGCTTGCTTCTTTGTCAAATCTACCGACGTCGATTACCCGGTAAATCGTGATACCCAGCGTTTCATCCGTCAGCGAAGCATGCATCTCCATTTTCTCCGCCCCCATTTATTTTTTCTTCTTCTTTTCTTTGCTTTTTCTTCTCTTACTTGAGTTCTATTATTTCCTTTGTCAGAATACATTTCCTATGTGGTTCACTGTCTAAATTTGGCTTCCCTATTTCATGTATGTCACTATAACCCCCTCACCCCGCTGTAAAGTTACGGACTCCCTTTTCCCTTTGATTAAACTGTCTTCTAACTAGGCTATCTGCGGCGGTTTATGTATTTTCTGGCTCGAGGATAATTCTAATACTTGCACTTTTCCCCAGTCCATTTCAGTCCAATTGCACAAGTGTTCAGTTGTTTCCTTCCGGGATGCGCCTCAGCTAGGCCTTTTTCTTTTTTTTTTTTTTTTTTCTTTTCTTTTTCTCCTTTCTTCTCGCTTCCTTCTTACTATGTTTAAATTTGAGCGGCTTGCCGATGTGATTGAGGCGGCGCGCGTGAGTACATTGATTGTAAACATGATGACGAGTTTGAAGCATCCAGTAAATGATCTAGAAGTACGGAGTATATCTGAGTAAACATTACTCGAACCGTGGTTCAGAGTATACAGTACGAGTACGGAGTAAAGGTACGGACAGAGGAGATCTACCTGACGTCACAAATCATATTAACAGATAATTCTATTGGATACAGCTAAGCTCACCGCTGTCTACTTACCTAGGTAGGTACTTAGGTATTAGGTACCTAGTGAATTACTACAGAGTACAGAGTACCTAGTACTAAGTTCATTTCGCCTATCATCGGTGACCAGATTCGGATCCGGAGAACGGAGGATACAGAGGGGAAGAGCGGAGGGGAAGGGCGGACCTACCCCACGCACCTCCACTGGCAGTACGGGGTACGATACTCCGTACAACATTCTCCGTCCTCCGTCCTCCGTCCTCCGTCCCGTCCTACGTAACCCTCCGTGCTCCGGACGGAGGATTAGAAATACGCAGTAGGTTAGTGCATAGTCTGCTAGTTAGTAACTAGGTACCGTAGTTAACTACTAGGTAACTATATGTAGTATGGCCTGATGAACTACCTCCGATCCACGGAGTATAGAGCTTTTACTTACTTTTTACTAGGTTCCCACTAGCTACTACGCTACTAATCAATATTATTGACTACAAGTGAAGCAAACTAGTGTTTGTGGCAGTGTTGGTCTTATTGGTGACACCTGATCTAGACCGACGGCCGATGTCCAAGAAAAAGAAAAAGAAAAGAAGTAGAAAAAAAAAAAGAAAAGAAAAGAAAAGAAACACTCGGAGGCTGTGTCCAATCGAGACGCTGCGTCCAACGATGTAGTATGTAGTAAATGATGTGTAATAAGACAGGAAGGACATCGGAGACAAGGAAGCTGTTGTCTGACGGGGTTGATGGGGGGTCGCTAGCCGAGGTAAGCCGCTGCACACTCTCCCTCTGTACGTAAGAGGCGTTTGCATATTCCACTGGATGTATGTAGTAGTTATGTGGTGTGAGTGTGTGTGAATGTGCACGTGGTTGGTATCTGTTTGCTACATGGGTCGAAATACTGATCCGAGAGATAGGTGGTGCTTTTATACTGTCTTCAATCGTGGCCGAGGTAGAGGAAGCCCATGGGGGGTCCTATGGATTTGCGTGCTGCGGACGCCGGCGTGGGCCTTGCCCGCGTAGGAGACGGCTTGTCGTAGCCCAGGAAGAGGAACCCGCTCGGGGAAGGCGCGGCGGCGGACGGGCGACGAGATGTTGTCTCCTCGCGGCGGACGGGCGGGTAACCCAGGAAGAGGAACTGGCTGGGCAGTCGCGAGTCCGTCTCGCTCATCCGGGAGACAGTGCTGTCCGTCGATGAGGTGCTGTCGGAACGGTGCAGCGTAGGGAAGACGGGCAGGCTGTCATTCACGGCGGGCTGGTCGTCGACCGCGCTCTCATCGGGGCCATAGTGAATGGGAGAAAGGACAAGAAAACGAAGGTCCTGCGAGTACGAATACATTTTTGGTTGCTTTTGTGTTTGAGTTGGCGGGGTACGGAGGATATGAGAGGAGAGCTGCAGAGGGGAAAAATCAAGATGGAGTGGCGAGGGAGAGGGAGAGCTGTAGGAGCTGTACTGAGTGGAGTTGGAGAGGTGTGTTGCCAGAGATGAACAGAGTGTCGTGGACTGATGCCCTTATATACCCAGATCTGGATATGCCAAGGTCCTTGGGGAAAGGGGGGGGGGAGGGGCAAGGGCTTGGGTCTCTCTGTTCTGTACTCCGTACGGAGTACGATGCGGATCCAGCATATTTGCCTATGTCAGCCCCCACCTCGGACGAGATAAACGAATGGATAAGGCCCATGCAGCCATTCTCCGAGACCACAGGTGGAAGGAGTCGATTGGCATGCCTCTGCCGCCGCTCGGCAGATCTGGTAAATGGTACGATTACCCTTTCCCCGAGCATCACACGCTTACGCTGTCCGAGATGCCAGTCAAAACGCCGACCGCGTTTGACGCCAGTCTTTTCCAAAATGATCTTCGGGGGACACCTTACCCCGTGGTAAATTTCGCCTCCGGGCCACTGGCGATCAACGGACACTTGGACTGGCTGTTATTCGCTGCGCGTGATGTTGCAATAATGGCCCAGTGCTTGCTTGGGTGCTATTGTCCTAATCCGGTATCTCCGGTTATGGGCGGGCGACTCTCGGCACGGCACGGTCCTGAAAATCAGTCGTCACCCCGGACGATCACAGCAATGAACCGAGGGGGGGCAAGGCCCCATGAGCAGTCTCTGGCATGATTCTGGGTTAAGCCAAGGCTTGGTATACCACGACTATCGAATTTTCCCTATTTTGTGTAGCCTGGGCTGGGGAAGCCCTTTTGTCTCGGCCTTGGTCTTTCGTTGGCATTCTCCCTCCTTACCTGCTTGGCAGGCCAGTCATCCATTCGTCGCAGATGCCGAGTAATATAGCGACCGTGGCGGCGTCTCAGGAAAGACAAACAGCGGCGTTCTAGAGCATTCGGGCGGTAGTAATGACGAATAGCCTCTCGTTCTAGAGGTGCTCACTCACCTCGTCCGCCTCCCTCAGGCACTCCTTCTGGTAGACTGTCGGGCGGTTTCTGGCGATTTCGAATCTCCGGTCCACCAGTGGTCGGCGAGAACCTGCCTTCTGGAGGCCCATGGTCTAGATAGGACGTTGTTCCAAGGGGGTTGAAGTCGTTGAAATGCTTCCGTAGAAGTCGAGGCCCTAGGTCAAGTGGTCACCACCAACAGTCACGTGTCTGGCCTTCTGACAGGCACCTTTTCTGGAGGGGGGAAAGAAAAACAACTTCCTCCTAACCCCTCCCCTCTCCATTGGGCTTGTCCTGCTTTGCTGAAGCGAAAAACCCGTACGTCTCTTCGACAATGGTTATTATCTCGTTTGTCCGAGTTGGTCACCGGCGGCTACGCGCCCAGCTCTCGCGAATCTAGGCGCCCAGGGACTCCGCGGCCTATACGACTTCTCCAGTGGCGTGGGAGGGTTAGCGGCTGCGAGGAAAAGCGAGTCCTTCGCACTGTTGGGCCGCTGCGGTTCATATAACAGATGATGGTATTCAGTGGTTCTCAAGGCTTCCTGCTAGGCGAACTGTTTCCACAGAGACAGCCCATAACACCCCGCTAGGTCATATTAGGACCATGTACTTGCCCACTGAGAAAGACCAACATTGGGAACAAAGCGTCTGCTTCTTCGAGATTCGTTGCTAACTCTCGCTTTCAACAGCAGCTGCAAGTTGATCACATTGCAACTCTTCGCTTGCCAGGTCTAGCTTTTGCCTGCGTACAGCTATCACTAACAATTGTGCTCTGAATCCCCGGGCCGTTATTCGTTTGTCAATGAGATGCCTCCTGGGTACCGTGACCGAGACTACCTGTGATGATCTTCATGCCTTGCAGATCTAGCGTTCTAGCTTGTCTTCTGCGCATCTATCGGGTCATTCCTGAGCCAGTGCTGCGTCAGACGAACGCCCCCAACTTCGCGCCGCAGTTGCTCCGCAGTCCCTAGCCTATTAACCAGGAAGGGAAATACAATAGCCACGTTAAAGGTGACTCACTAGAGACGGTTCATTATCAGAGGTCATTTACATTTTTTTTCCCTAGAGGAATCGAATGGACGAGGCAAAAAAAAAAAAAACAAAAAAAAAAACCTCAAGGTGCACCGTGTGACATCTATCAGGTGTTCGGCCAGATAGTGATGACTGCGGCACGAGCACGTACGACATGGGCGATGTTGGTTCAGGAACCAAACTCATTTGACAGATTGGCCCCCCTTGTCGCGGAGGTAGGTGGCTGCGGAGATGCCGCGGTGTCTTCAGCGTTGATGTCAAGCGGCGCACATTGGCAACTGCGGAAGTTTAATGAAGCTTGGAGGTTCGGTGGATGATCGATCTTTGCTTGGAAAGACCCTCTTTTTGCTGGCGTTCACATCGAGCTCTCTAGACTCGCCCTCGAGGCACACTTCGGATAAGTGTCTAGTATGGTGGGTTGACGATCCGAATCACACCCGGTCCAGTTCCCACTGTTGGAAGAGACTTCGCAATCCGGGGTTCTGAGCAATGATTTCTTGGCCCTGCCCCCAACCCGCCGTTGGGTTCATCAATTCTATCGGAGAGGAAAACACAACCACTTTCCTTTCCGGACGGTTAACGGACCGGGGATTGAAGAGTGGTGGGAGGGTCCGGTCTTTGCCACAAGGTGAGTCTTTTCCTGTGTAGAAATCGACCGCAGCGTTCTTGTTTCCTTGAACTCCTGGTGCTGCGGCACACAGTCGTCTCCCTCGATTGACATCTCCATTCAAAGGGGAGGGGAAGGGAGGGGGGAGACTCGCAATCTAGACGGTTATATAAGAGACCCGATTTCCCGCGACTTTTTCACATCCTCACCATCACATCAATCAAGCCTCTATCTACTTCATTACGAACAGAGTAGATCGCTTTGTTTTGCTCCTTTGACAACACTTTCTCCCACTTCCCACCCCCCACAAAGCTTATCTTGCCCAATCCACCACATTTGTTCTTCACGGACAAACCTCCAAACACAAAACTTCAATATGTGCTCCGTCTATTTTATCAAGTATGACTGTGGCTGTGTGGTCCAGGAGGGCGACGTGGTCTACTGTGCTCGCCGGGGAACCACCTGCTGCAGCGTGAGACGTCAGGTTCGGCGGCGAGAGGGATACAACTGCCCTAGTCATGGAGGCTAGATCGCTTCCTGCCATACTACGAGTACGTATTATATTTCCCTTTTTTTCTCTTGTTTAGTTGTTCAGCCTGTAAGATCGCTAATCAATCCCGCAATCTAGGGAGCAGCCCAACTCGGTCTTTCCGGGCTGTTTGACAAGGCCGCTATTAAAACAAGAGAGAGAGAGAGAGAGCCCTTGGAATATTTTTGTCAATAGCTGTCTTTCTTCCTTTCTGTCTTCCTCCCCTCCTTCCTTTTCTTCTCTTTTTTCTTCCTTCTTTTGCCCGGGTCAGCCCCTGCACATGGTGAGAAGGGCAGGTCCCTGGGTTTCATCTCCCTCGCCGGTGAGATGGTTGGTTTGAAGCGAGAGGTATCAGGTCTTTTACTCTTCTTATTTCTCTCGGGAGAGTCTGCCTACTGGGGGGTTTTCTGTGTGGTGTTTCTAATAATCGATCAATCTGCTTCTATTGCGCTTCCCACCGAGTTGTCACTTTCCAACTTGGTTGCCTATAACAATTTCATACTAGCAGAAAGACTTTATTCTTCTATTTTGACTTGCGTAAGATGCAATAGTTTTCTTGTATTATTCCTCTCAATACCATATTTGCTCGAGAAAGATTACCATGAATCCCATCTATTCCTTGAATGATTCTTTGATTCCTACGACGATGATCAAATGTCCCAGCTTCCGATACTCAGTAGCTGCTGCTCGATCCGCATTTTTTGACTATATTCCCCAAATCCAAGGTGCATTTGTACAGCGAGCATGTCTTCGAAGGAGAATAATTGAAGATCCTCCTGGCTATCTATTCCCGCGTAGGGGTCAGGCAGACCAAGCCATCCCATACCTAGCCAGTTTTACCAAATCTATTTTTTCTTTTTGAAAAAAAAGAGATTTACTCTGAAAAACCGTCCAAAAGAAATAATTGCCGATCAAACCGACAAATTCGGCGCGGGGCCAGGGTTCGATGCATACTGCATCATCGTGCGAATGTCCAGGGAGAAAAAGTCTGGTGCCAATCTGGTGCACCCCAGCGGTAGCGTACGAACAAGGAGAGGGGGGGGGATTTTGGGTATCAGGTAGAAACGTGCGGAATAGACCTCGCCGCAGACCACTCGCAGGAGGCAAAGACGAGGGCGGTGCGTGTGCAAGAGACCGTCCACCAATCCCGTATTTTGACTGCCGATGCGCCGCATGTCTAAGCAGCAAGTAGGATTGCAATTTTGCTGTTGTTAGGTGCTAACACCGAACGGACCTCTCGGGTTGCTCCGCTGCGGAGCTTTTGCCTCCCAGTGCCAGGCTGCTAGCACGCCAGGGTATGCACACTGCACAGTGCCACTGCGCACATAGCGGGTCTCAAGTGACCAGCTAAAAGACTGGCAGGTGACGTTGTGGTCTGCAGACCATTGATGGGCTGTGTTGGTGGCCTCATATCAGATGGTATTGCGAATGGAGGGTTAATGTCTCGTGCCAGGATCTACCCTGCAGCTCAGAGCCCTTGAGAGAGAGGCGACAAAGTGCCCGAGAGAGAAACGTGTGCGGGGCGGCAATGTAGAACCACTTGCCTAGACCAGCTCCTTCCCGAGAGAGTTCAACCGTAGCAAGCGGTATGTGCCATATGGTCATATTCAAGGCATCCAATTTGACCTGAAAACAAAGCGATAGAATCATTAGGCGAAAACCTCTTCCTCCTCCTGTCCCATTATCGTCATATTTTGATCCAACAATGGATAGTTCGTGTTGTGACTGCACATTTTGCCAATGCTCGAAAGGCTTTCAGAAGACACATCAAAGGCCGGTCTTCTTTCCGCCCAACGTATCGTCGAAACATGCATTAGCCCCGCAGACGACTCGTATCAGCTGACATTGGTCACAGTAGATGACTGGGAAGTCTAGAGACAAGAAGATGCAGGCAGGTCAAGCCTCCTGTGGTTGGAAGCCGTAGTCCCCCGATGGAAGATGTTTTGGGAGCCCGGGCCTGTTAAAAAAGAGCCTGAGCAAGTACTCCGTATACTATTCCGATCAAGGTCAATTAGGACCAGTCACCAGAGGAAAATAAATAATAATAACCAACAAGTGACACAGAGCTTACTACGAGTAAAGCCCGGCGCGCCACAGTGGCTCGCTCTTGTCAAGAGGCAGAAAAGAGGCCAGGCAATTGTGTCCACGCGTCAACAAAAATTGCCAGCTCATACTCTGTAGCAGTGTGAACATTGTGCGAAAGACTAACTGTGGCTTCGGGTGACTGACTCGTAATTGTTGGAAGCTTGGTGAGATCAAATCGCGCCGGAACCATGGAACAACTCGGTGTAGCCATGACTAGAGAATCAATCCCTGTAGCCTAGCGAATCCTGCAATGCCCTTTTCCGCCCAAAGCCCCCAAAGAGCCACATGGCACAAAGAAGTGTAAACACGGGCTAACCAAATTGCTGGGACTGGATAGGTCAAAGCGTGCGAAAGACCGAACAAGCTCGCATTTTGCGAGATGGAAATAGTCAACGTCGATTATTTGGAATCATAGGACTCTGGATATGGTTTTGGTTTGATGGCCTGCGTCTCCCGAAGGACGATGGTGGTTGGGATGAAGTGCAGTTGGGTCAATCATCGAGAGTCGATCATTGACGATTGTGTCATTGTGGCTGCCTGAAGGTTGACGCCTGAGCCATGTGACTTCACGTGATGCAGTCCTGCAAGGCACACGCGTTTGACCCCTCGAAGTTATTCATTCCACCGCAGCTTTCACTCCCCTCCTTTCCCCTCCATTTTCCTTGACAGATGTAATGTCCATTGAAGTCAACTGGGAGACCGCCACCTCTGGACCGGATGGTGAAGCTCTTGCAGAGCGGATCCGCTCCTTCATCCATGACAAGTTCCAACAGGTGACGCTCCCACGCTTTATTCGTTCTGTCCAAGTCCACTCGTTTGATTTCGGCACTGTCGCCCCGGACCTGGAGATCAAGGACTTTTGCGAGCCGTTTGAAGACTTCTATGAGGATAGCGAGGATGGCGATGCGTCCGATGCGTCCGACAGCCGCCTGGCCGAAGAACAAGAGGCTGCGTGGGCCGACGAATCCCGATTTCGAGAGGAACTGCCCATGACCAGCTCTCAGCTACGACATCATCATCCCTATGAGGAGTCTCACACATCGGCTCTCCGGTCTCCCATACCGTTAGGGGAACACTTGAACCCACACTTCCTGCCCCGAGCAGGCACCCCCGGGATTCCCGGCGGAACCTCGAATCTCGGATACCACCTCATGTCCCTCGGGGGTCTCTCGGGGACACAAACCCCGTTGGCCGCGGTAGCTGGGGGCTCGCCGTTTGCTAGTACCTGGTCGGACGCGGGGTTAGGACCTGGAGGGAAACTTGGTGCGGAGCGACCACGCCGCTCGGCCATGTACCAACATTTCGAAGCGGACCCGGACAACAGCTCTACCTCCCGACCGTCCACGGCCAACACGGTACCATCGCGTCCTTCCGCAGGTCAGGGTAGTGGAGGGGCCAACAAAGCAAACATAGGAGTTCCCGGGAACGATGGCGGCGACGATGATGACGATGATGACGACGACGACGACGACGACGACGAAGACCACGATGCGACACATCCGCTCGGCTCGCTGCCGCGCATGCGGGAACATCGCCCGGAGGACTTCCAGGTGCTCTGCCGCGTCAATTATGCAGGCGATATCAAGCTGTCCCTGACGGCCGAGATTCTCCTCGACTACCCGATGCCGAGCTTCGTGGGACTCCCGCTCAAGCTAAACGTCACGGGCGTCACTTTTGACGGGGTCGCGGTCATTGCCTATATCCGGAAACGGGTGCATCTGTGTTTTCTTTCTCCCGAGGATGCCGACGCCCTCATCGGCACAGACTCACAGGATCACCTGAATGATGGCAGCCGCCCTCGCTCAAGCGGCGAGGGCGCCGCGCAGCCGCCGCCGCCGCCGAAACGGTTCGGCGGGCTGTTGCAGGAGATCCGGGTCGAGAGCGAGATCGGGCGCAAAGAGGACGGGAAACAGGTGCTCAAGAACGTCGGCAAGGTCGAACGCTTCGTCCTAGCCCAAGTGCGGCGCATCTTTGAAGAAGAATTCGTATACCCTAGCTTCTGGACTTTTTTGATCTAGCCTAGTTATAGATACCCTTTACCAAAAATAGCTTCAACTTGCTGCTGAAGTATCGACTAGCGGAGATACTTTGGAACATATACATCTAATTGGAGATTTATCATATAACTCCTTGCACTCCTGCGCTTCTTCCCCCGGGATCTAGTTAACAGAAAATTGAAGTTCATCTTCCACACGCGATAGAGAAGAAAATCCACTAAATCCCTCCTCTGCTCTGAACCGCCCGCTCTCCATGGAAAAAGTTCTGTCCATAATTGCAACATTCAAGTAGAGACCTTGGTCATGTTGGAACATTGCTTGATATCCTTGCCAGTAGACTGATTGATATCACTTCAAATATGTTGTCTCGGATTTATTTGTCCTTCTTCGGGGTGTTGTCGGGGGCGCCTGAGACCTGGTCACCGAGCTTATGGTACTCGCGGCTCAGGCCCTCGGTCTGCTTCTTCAGGGTCTCTAGATCGCGTTCCTTGGCAGCCAGCTCCTTCTTCAAGCGACCGATCTCGCCCATGTCGCCGGCCTCGGCGATGCGGGCGGCGTCCTTGCCGCTGGCCTTCTTGTCCCCCTCGAGCAGTCTGACCTTGTCCTCAAGCCGAAGCACGTCCAGAATCATCAAGTATGTGCGGTTGAGAATCAGCGAGAGGAAGAGCGTGAAGCCGCACAGGTACATGTTGCGTTGCGAGTAGAACTTGCGGGCCTGGACCTCCATGCGATCGCCGCCGAGAGCAGCAGCCCTGCTGAGGATGGTTAGAAATACACAAACCACACAAAACTATGATGACTATGAATTGACTAACCCCACAGCACCGCCTTCCTTGGTAAACGCAGCCAGCTCAAGCTGCACACGGTACACGCGGTTGACGCTATCGATGAAGAGGATGAGGATGAAGATGAACGTGATCTGACGTGGTAAGTACAAGAGAGAGAGAGAGAAAAAAAAGAGAGAAGAGAGAATACCTTCAATCCGTATTGTAGCTTCGCTACTATTGGACTCTCCGAGATGAAAGCAAAGAGCTTCCGTTTCACGGTGTAGGGGAGTGGGATGATCAGGCCCAGGAAGACGGCCATCTCAAACACCAAAAGGAGGAACACCTATAGGGTCAGCCTTCAGTCTTAACACTTACCAGGATTTTTTCCTTTCGAATAAAATACATACCAAACTATAGTAGAGAGTCATTGTGACGCCTGGCTTGCAATATTCTCCAGGGAGGGACTGGCGGTCACTGAGTTAGGCTCCAGGAATTCAGCGAGGGCACAATGTTTTCGTGAAAGAGGACTCGTCTGGCGGTACTCGAGGAAAGAAAGAGTTACAAAATAGTCTCTCTCACACAGAGATCTGGTGCGAGGGTATTGGGAGAAGTGCAAGTTTTTTTTTTTCCCAAAGCTGGGTGAAGAAGAGGTGGTCTTTGTGGAGGAGCTGGGAAGACGTCATCGCCGAGCTGCCAGCTCCTTCCACGTGACTGGTCCTTGGTTATATCGTCATAGTTTAGATTGATGGAATACAACCCGACTATATCTATTCAATTTGTATTTCCAAAAATTCATTGAAAGTCTATTCTGTGGAATATTTACTAGTATCGTCTTACTACTCAACCCTCTGCCTCGTAGGAATTGGATTTATGCTTGGGCTCGAACTTGAAGCCTTCCTGGACCGGGCCAAGGAACATTTCTCTGTAGGAATGGTTAGACAGAGTGGCTAGGGGGAATCGGAAGAGAAAAGAAAAAGAATTATGTTCGAAGCACTTACGTGATCTTGATCCAGTCCTTGTAGTTGTCGCTGGCCATGAGAGTTTCCAGTTCGTTGCGGCCGCGCCAAGCAGGGGGACGATCGTTGAGGTTGGGCGGCAGGTATTCGAGCAGGCCGACGGGGACGTAGCGGTGTGTGAAATTCAGCCATTCGAGGAGGAAGCGCCGGGTGGTGCCGATGCCGTGCTCGTCCGAGCCCCAGGTCTCCAAGCCGTACTTGGTGAATTTCTCGACGAGGGTCAGCCGCTCGGAAGCGGACTTGTCGAGGTACTGGCCCGCCTGGATCTCTTCGAACAGCCACGGTTTGATCAGCGCGCCACGGGCCAGCATGACGGTGTCGACGCCGGCGTGCTGGATGTGATCGTTGTACTCTTCGTGCGAGTAGCAGTCGCCGTTGCCGAGGAAGTAGACACGGCCCCCGTTGGGCAGATAGCGCTCGTCCGGCTCGCGGATCGTGTCGGCCACGGTGTTCGCCTTTTCGTTGAGCCTCTTGATGAGGGCGGCCGTCTCGGAGATGTACTCCCAATCGGCCTGGCGGGTGTACCGCTGCTGGCGACTGCGGCCATGGAGGGTGATGGCTGCGACACCCGGCGGGCCCGCTTGCAGCACGTTGGCCTCGTACCCTCCGAGGATGAAACGTTCTACCAGCTTCTGGGCATTGGGCGAGTTATCCTTTGTCCCCATACGAATCTTCACCGTGATGGGGATCTCCTTGGAAACCGAGTTCATGCCGCGCAAGATCTTCTCCAGCTTCGATGCGTGGTCGAGCAGTGCAGAACCGGCTCCCTCGCGGTAAACCAGATCGATGGGGCAACCGCAGTTCAGGTCGATGACACGAAGGCTCGGGCAGTAGGCCGACAGCGCCTCTGTCACCTTGAGGGCCTGGAAGGGCTTGTTCGCCGCAATCTGGGCGCCGAACTTGAGGTCCTTGGAGTTGTCATAGCCCTGGACAATGTCGTCCCGGGAGCTGTTGACCGTCGGCGGCGTCATCTCAGACTCATGTGCTCGCAGAAGGGCCCATTCAGACTTGGATCCATTGAGCAGGGGCATGCTCATGGCCATCTCCGAATAGGTGAACTGGGCGCCCAGCTCTGTACAGAGGCGTCGAAAGGGGAGATTACCCTGGGTGGTGAGAGGCGCGAGGGCCGGGGTCTCTGGTCCAAAGTAAATCCGTCTCTTCTCCGAGGGTAGAAACGGCGGCTCCGTGAACTGAGCCCGGTTCTCTTCCACGCGCTCTCTGTCTAGATTCAGCCGGTCTTCGGGGGTGAGGTCGACATCGTCCATGGCGCGGCCATGGATACTGTTCTCCAGCTCTTTGGATGTCTTGTTCAGCCAGGTCAAGATGGCATCCGAGCGGGGCATTGGAACCTTCTTCTTCGATAGAGCCGATTTCACTTCTATGGGGACGTTATTGGCAATACCCTCTTCAGTCGCATGGGCAACCAGAGGCCGAGCCTTTCTCTTGCGGTCCTCATCCTCGACCAGAACCAGCTCTTTGCGTCCATCGTCCGTCTCACGCTCTGCCATATGCGAGCCCACAAAGCGACATTTCCACCCGGCAAAGCACTGGCCCTTGGCATCCCACACAGGACACAGGCCGCCCAGGGTTGTAAGGTCATCACGCTTGTGTTCCTTGAGGTACAGCCGCAAGTCGTGTTCGAACTTACACTTCTCGCCAAAGTGACACTCGTCCGGCGAGAACTCGGGCCGCAGAGCTCTCGTCCCACACAGGCCCTTTGCATCCTTTGACCTGGCAAACTTGCGTGCGGTATTCTGACCTTTGTTCTTGTTGTCCTTCTTTTTCTTCTTGCCGTTTGCTTCCCCCTCACCTTGACCTTCCGCCTCAGCAAGGTTGTCCGGATTTTCGTCATCGGCCTGTCGTCGCGGGGCGGAGGCAATCAGATATCTAAAGCAACCATCGTCAGATCCAATTGAGGGAGATAAAAATATATCCAATTGGAGGTAAAAGCAAGAATAAGAGAAGAGACGCACTCGGCTTTAACCTGGGCAATACCCTTGATTCGACCGGGAGTATCGCTCTTTGCAGACTGCTCCAGTTTTGCCTTTTTCAACGGAGGCTCGCCCGAGCTGTCCACCAGCGCAGCTGTTGCCTCGACAGGCTTTGTTGAGGTGGTTTCGGACTCCATGACTTGTACCAATTGCTTCGATCCACGACAAGATTGCTATCACTCACAGCCTAGTACAAAGAGGTAGTTACTCTCTGTATCTTCAAAATTTCCCTGTCACGCTGAGTGGCGGGGATTATGTTTGCATGTTTGCATGTTTGCATGTTTGATGTTTGCACTGTTTGCATGTATGCACTATTTGCACTATTTGCACTATTTGCATGTTTGATGTACAGCCACTGTGGCGAGTTAACAGTGGCGCAGTTTGTCATCATGCGACCAGTTTCTGTATCAGACTATCAGTGGCTGTCTCAGCCCATCATTTGTTCACCGCCAGGCCAATGGACAGAAGACTTGGTTCTAAGACATGGTAGTTAGTAGTGAGAATACTAATTAATTAATTACTCCTACTCCGTATTCCTCTGCAGCTATTCTGGAGTACATAAGGTGAGACCGAACAATGCCATCGAATGTAGTAAGTACTGTTCGTAGTCAAAATGCGATCTGTCGAGTTAGAGTACTAGATACTCCGTACTACATACTCCATGGACTCCATCCAACTCTAACACACCGCTGCATGCGTGGAGACGCGATGCAGGTGCCGGGTGCCGTAAAAGTAGCAACATCTTGACTTCATCTTTACGTGGCTTGCTCCCCTCATGGAATGGGTCTCGAGAGCAAGTGGTGCACGCGAGATTATGGGTGGAGACGGGAATGCTCAATCACGAAGCTGTACAGACGGTAAGGGTGGACTTTTGGAAACAAAAGCTTCTAGAAGGGTGCTCGAGGTGGGGAGGAGAGGAGAGGAGAGGGGAGGGGAGGGGGGGGGGGGGGGGGGGGGGGGGGGGGGGACGAGGTGAGGATCTGAATAATGATGCGTCCATCCATCCATTCATACACTGTTACCTCTGTTGGTTACCATGTTTGTCCGCCGTCGAGTCCGCTGGTGTATACGTATTGCGTATTACGTATTACGTATTACATTACGCAGGACCGCGCCATGTACTCTGTATTAGGCTAGTCCTGATAAAGTTTAGCGCGGGACCGCTAGTACGGTACTGCATGGGACTAGAAAGTTACCGCCAAGTAGCAGCCAATGATCTGGGGCGTATATTATTGTCAGAGGAGACAATCTATGGGTATTGTTATATGGCAGCTGAGAGAACACACAAAAGAGTATTATTGATTAAGATTTAGTAATAATAATATGGCTGAAAGACAGTTTGTAGTCGGTATGGTGAAGATGGCTGAATAATAGGTCCCTCCTTGACTGGTGGGAATTCCTCGGGATCTTCCATTTAGACTAGCTGATGGATGTTCTACTACAGGGTGATGAATGTAGTATTATTCTAGGAATATCAGGTTAGGTACCTATATTATCTCTACCTCACTTATGAATAGCTATATTAGGTTTGGCGTCTAATCTATAACATCCTGGGCTCCGAACGTTGGTTGAGAGAACTATACAGTCTATACCTAGGTAGGTAAACACTAACTACCTACCTTAGGTAGTACTATGTACTCTAGGTAGGTAGTTAAGTATCGAGGACTGTATTTACTTCCATACTATAAACATAACCTTAGAGGCAATGATTCACTTTGATAGTAGTATACTCGGTACTCGATCTCATCGTCATCACTCCGAGTTTCACTTTGGCGATCTAAACTCCTTTGGAATCTGTGGATCGAAACCGACGAAAGTTGCGAGGATCGTCTCGCTCCACCGAGCCCGGGATTTGGTCTACCAGGACCACATCGCCTTGCTTCTAGAAGTAAGACTGCAATCGCTCATGCAGTATGTACTTTATAGTTTCTTATCCTATCCTCAAGTCATGAAGTCAGAGACTCATCCTCTATATTAACTACCTACCTCTACTAGGTAGTAGTTAGTACTAGGTAGTATTCAGTGTACTAACGGAAGCGTTCCGGACGGTATCTGGCAGTACCGGTACACTGCCGACATTACCAAACCGTATTGGCGTCCGCCAACGAACGCGAGACAAGGCCGGCAAAACGCTCCACCGCCATCGTCAAGTCCTCCGCTCCGTCGGTCCAACGGTCCACTCCATCCAACTATTGCGGGTTGCGAGGGACGACGACCGTCGGCAGTCGCAGCCAGCACTGCAGCCGTGGAGTAACCATTGCTCCTAGGGACTCTATATAGTAATACTACTACCTAGGTAGTCAGACTCACTTAGTACTCATCTGCTAAAGCGGCTGCCCGCAGTGGGTCCATCTGACGACTGACCGTGACCACTCCCAGACACTCAATTCCTGGTTCAACCAGACGTATTACCAACACCGTATTATATACTAGGTACTGTACTTACTACCCGTACTGTAAGTTACCGGTACTGCCTAGTACCTTACTCCTACCAGTACTTATCGATCGGTCGCCCGCCAGTTGCCCTCCAGCCCTCCAGCCCTCCAGGTATTATTATTATTTTCACATCTCCAAACACGCCGCCAGGCCATCGTTGCCTCGTGTGTTGTGTGCGTTACACTCTCGCCTCTACCCTTGAGATCCTCTCTGACCACCGTCCATCCCTACTGCCTAATTGTTGTCTCCCTCCCTTTCGCCCTCCCCTCCCCTTCGCTCTGTCTTCTGGCCTGTCATTCTGGTAACGTCCCGCCACCTAGTCCGGATCCGTTACAGGTTCCGCAGCGTCCCAAGGCCCAAGCGGGACATCATCCGAGGGTGCACTTCGTCCTTCACACTTCCTCTCCTCCCTTCTGTTCTTCATGCTTGACTCGACGGCATCTCCAAGTCCGACTCCTCCCCTCCACTACTCCCCGACGCTCGTCAGCGACCGTGACCGCGCCTCCACGAGGGATCCGACCCCCGTTACCACTCCTCCCACCATCGGGTTTGGTGTGCCCTCGCAGAGACCGGACAAGGGTTGGTTCTCCAGCCAGCATTTAGGTAGAAATAACGACCACGACCACGACCACGACCACGACCACGACGACGATCACGACGGGATCTACGACTTTCCTCTCTTTCCTAGCACGATGACGAGCTCGGCCACTCCCATCGACCTTTCCACCCGCAACACCTCGGTCTCGCCACCAGGCCAACAGGCCTCCAACCTCACCTCTGCCTTGCAGCGAGCTGGTCCTGGCGAACGGGCAGGTAGCGTCTCTCATCCAAATGGCATTGGTCTCAGCATGTTCAAGGCTCCGCCACCTCGCAAGGACTCCATCAGTGCAGCGACGGCCCAGTGGGGGAACGGCACAAAGCCCATCTCGGTCTCGGGCTCGAACCGCGACAAACAGCGCCGAGAATCCCTGGCGGGGAGTCTCGTCGGGGGGATGAGCTGGGGTGGCATTTCCGTCGGCAGCTGGATTCGTGACGAGTGAGTTTCACCACCGATCAAGCCTATCGTGAGAGAGAAAATTTAACGTCCCGCAGCATTATCATGACTGGCACTTCGCCCTTCGCCTTTCAATCACCCTCCTTCCACTCCTCCTCGTACCTGCCCAAGCTAGAAGCGAATTTCATGCGCGATTTTTCCTGCTGCGGCGTCACCTTGCCCACTCTGCATGATCTCCTCCAGCATTACGAAGAAGCCCATGCGACCAAGTCGCCGCACCAGGGGCACCGGCCTAGCCAGGCCGACGCCCGCGCGGCGCTGGCCGCCGCCGCCATCTCGCAACATCAGAGCCAACAGGCTGGTGGTGCAAATCGAAACCTTCAACCCGACCGCGCGCTCGACATGCAGCGTAAAGTGGGTCCGAACCATGTCTCGCAGCAGCACTCCGATCTGGACGCCATCGACGACATGGAGCTCGATGAGCCCATGGGTGACATGGACCCATCGTCTGCGCAACTCTTTCCCTCCCAGTCATCGCGCGATACCACCCCGGGCGCCTTCGGCACCCCGAGCCAGCGCGTCCCGCAACTGAACCTGACCATGATGCCGGGCCACCAAAACTTCAAGGGCTCGCAGCCTGGCACGCCCGTGGCATCGACGCGCCCGCTGCCCCCACTGCAGAACAACCCGACGGTCTCGTCGGTCAACACCCCGACCCTCATGGCCAACCCGCTGCAGACCGCTTCGCAGTTCCAGGGAACCCCCAACAGCTCGGCCCCGGGCACCCCCGCCGAGCTGGATGAGAGCATGCTCGGCGGGTTTGGCGATCTGACCATGCAGAACCCGGCCCTCCTGCAGAACCCGGGCTCGCAATTTGGCGGTGGTGGGCCTCGGTTCGCGACCCCCGGCTTGGGCAACGACATGGTCGACCTGTGCATCGACGAGCCGGCCAAGCGCCTCTTCAGCCCGACGGGCGGCTTCGGCTCGCCCAACGCCCACTTCAAACTCAGCGGTGCTCAATACGGCCCCAACAGCGAGATTGCCCGACGCATCCGCGAACAGCAACTCCTAGCCGGCGTGCCAGACACCACCGCCCTACTGCCAAACGAGGAGCCGAAGCCTTTCCGCTGTCCGGTCATCGGCTGCGAAAAGGCCTACAAGAACCAAAACGGTCTCAAATACCACAAAGCAGTAAGTCCCACTATATTTCTACAATGTGCAATATCTATCTATACGCTCTTCTAACATCTCAGCACGGCCATAATAACCAGCAACTACACGACAATGCCGACGGCACCTTCTCGATCGTCAACCCAGAGACCTCGGCCCCCTACCCCGGCACAATGGGCATGGAGAAAGAGAAGCCCTACCGCTGCGAAGTCTGCGGCAAGCGGTACAAGAACCTCAATGGGCTCAAGTACCACAAGTCACATTCGCCGCCGTGTAATCCGGATCTCCAGCTTGCCGCGGGCCGGAACCTCAACCTCGGCGGCGGAGTCATGCAGGGGCAGAACATCAATGTCGCGGGGGCGGGCCTCCCGGGAATTGGTGAAGAGGGACTTCTCTAGCGTATAACTTCCTTCTGCTTTACCTTTATTCTTGTTTCTTTTTTTCTTTTTTTTTTGGGCTATGATTAATGACGGCTGGAGTCGGGTGCATGGTTTGAATAGATCCCGATAATCACTAGTCTTCTCCTTTTTTTTGTCTTGATATGTCTTGCTTATATGTCTGCTTCGACTTGCTTCGAGTTGGAAATCCGGGTTTTCTTGACGCGCAGTCTTACAAGGAAAAAAAAAAAGTTGGCGTTTGTACATATTAGATTCTTATTACACTTTACTTATTATTCAAGGGGATTGATTTTGGTAAAGCAAGTACATATACATGAAAGCCATAACCAGAACAAAATACCGGGGGGGGGGCCCTTGCTTCTTATCTGAGATCTTTCTTTTCATTCTCAATCTGTCATGAACCTTTTTTGGTTTGCATATAGAATAATTCGCCCTGTGGCTATCGCAGAAAATACAAATGTAATGCGGCAGGGATGAGAAGAGTCTACCACTCGAATTCGCCCTGTCCCTTGTGAAAAACGTACCTTTGAAAGTCAGCATGTTGATGAACATCAATATAATTGCAAGAGAGAGAGATGAGCTTACTCCTTTCCGCCGGTGGTCAATATGCCATCCTTGAGCGTACATTTCCACTTGTTCTTGACGCGCTGCACCTTGTCATACGTGCAGAGCATCACCTGTCCCACGGCGTCGTCGCCATCGTGCTCGTCCGCGACCAGGTCGTCCGGATCGTCCAGGTCCGAGTTGATCGCGTCCTCGTCGTTCTCGACCCGCTCGTCCTCCTCGTCGTCTACCCCGTCGAATTGCCCGGGGGTGCTGGTGATGGTAGTTCCGAGGGGGCCAGCTGCCGGTCGGCCGGCCGGTCGGCGCGTGTGTTCGCTCAGAGGCAGCATCAGGCCGTTACCCTCCATCTGGAGCATGCGTTGTTGCAGCTGGTCGCGCAGCAGCCGATCGCCTTCACCATTCTGCTGGGCGGCGGCCTCGCGGCGGCGCGCCACCTCCGCCTTCCACTTGGTGTACGCGTCGGTTCCGTCGTCGTCGTCGTCGTCGTCATCACCAGGCCCGTCGGTTTGGGTATGGCCGATCGACGGTCGATATCCCGGTTCGGACTTGGGCATTTGCATTTGTCCGTTGACGTGTTGCAGGTGGGGAGGACGCGGTTGACCCGGCATGGCCAGAGACCCCTGTGACTGCGACTGTAGCTGGTTCACCGAGTTGGCCGCGGCGGCGCCGTACCGCTGTTGTAACATGCTCGCCGCGCGGTCGCGGGCGGACTGTGGGTTAGGCGGAACACCCGGCATCATCGGGGTGCCACCCATGTTGGGGTAGCCGGGGGGACCACTCACTCCAACTCCAGCCTCGGTCTTGATACGCGGCGGCTGCTGCTGCTGGCCGAGGGGGTATGGAGCCGCCTGCATGGGAGGGATGCCACCCGGCATTGACTGAGGTAGTTGCTGGGGAGGAACATGGCGTTGGGGTTGTTGAATCTGCGGCGAGGGAGCCGGTCGAGGTGCGTTGGAGGGGACGGTGGGCGGCAGGATGGGGTTCGGAGTCTGGGCAGCGGCGGGCTGAGGGGCCGGATCCCAGGGGAAGTGTGCGACGCCGAGGGAGGAGAGTTTCTTCTGCCAGCTCTGCGAGAGTCAGTCAGTATAGAAAGACAGACAGACAGACAGACAGACAGACAGACAGACAGATAGACAGATAGACAGATAGATAGACAGAGATATAAAAGTAGTGTAGGGACTAGCGGATAAGTACGGGCGGCGGCATAAGGAGGTTTGTGCTTGGGTATAAAATGCCTCAAAAGCGGCGCTTCCCCCCGTCGTCTCCCGCAGAATCTCGGGCCCCGCACAGTCCAACAGCCAGACAGCCAGAACAGACAGGGCTCCAAGACAGACAAAAAGCGGAAAAGAGACAGGAATCAGAGAAGGAGGAGAGAGACAGAGGCAGAGGAAGAAAGGGTGAAGTGCACTGACCTTACGCAAGTCTAGGAGCGTTTGCTGGTCGACGCCGCTCTCTTCAAAGTCCACCTCGGAGGCATCGCAGACCTCTTGGATCACGCGGTCGAAGACGGTTCCCTAAGAGATGAGCCTGGTCCAAGACACGAGAAGATGGAATCTGTGGAATCTGTCCTGGTGGAATACTGAGGAAATGTGCTGGGCAAAATGACGAGACATCTGGGGGTGGGCAGAGAGGGTGGGAGATAAGCCAGGGGGGGAGGGGAGGAGAGCCACTCACCACTTGCTGGTTTGACATTGTGAACAGAGCTCAATCACAATCGCTGCAGCAGGGCACCCAGGAAGAGTACACTATTCAAGGAGAGGCTGACTCCTTTTCAAACCCGTCGAAGCAGAAGCAGAAACAGAAACAGATCGTCACTCTCGGTCGCAGCAGCAAGCAGGTCCGGCCCTCGCAGGCTGATATGCGACAGGACTGGCGGGCCAAGAACTCCGTCAACCGCCGCGTGTGCCGGCTCGTCTCGTAAGCCGTGCAATCTATGAGGCTCTAGAGGAGTGTATGCACCCGTATTCAAGGGGGTAGAGGCGGCGAACTCGGTATCGAACTGGCAGGGGCAGCGCTGGGCGGCGGATGTGTTGAGGCGGAGGTTCGCGATACCCGGGCGAAATCCATCACTTCCCGGGTGCTGAGTCAGCGGGTGCCTAGAGAACAGGTAAAGTGAAAGTAAAAGGACTGGGTAGTTGGCAAATGCTGTTGAATGTTTGGAGATCTAGTGCTATCCTCACTGTGTCTTGAATTAATGTGTTAAGCCTGTATGTCGTTGGTTCCTAGCCGGATCTATACACTCACTACTAGATACAGAGAGATCCGGGTCTACAGACGTGATGAGGAAGAGCGAGTGATGAGGAAATTAATAGAATAGAATAGTACCCCGAAACCCCAAGAGTAAGTTGTAATGTTTGTACAGAGAGACCAAAATCGACAGAATCGCCTACTTCAAGAAAGCCCGTCAAGATCCAATGTGCATCCAACGCCATGACCCAACTCCCGAAAAGAAACCCCGAAACGAAAGAAAGAAAAGAAAGAAGAGAATACGTGACTTCGACGTCTCTGAAATGAATAAAGAATTACCGAATGGTCATCGACTTGGTCATCTGTGCCTTGCTGCCGACACCTCCCTCGCGAGAGGCAGAAGCGCTGGTACCCGGCTTGCGTTCAAAGATCTTCCAGAACTTTAAGCTCTCGTCCGCGGCGGCGGTGGCCAGGATCTGGCCGTCCGGGCTCAGGGAGCTGTGCAGAACACGGGTCTCGTGCGCGGGGATCTCAACGTTTCGCACCAGGGTTGGGTAGCTCCAGATGCTGAGCGAGTTGTCCGGGAAGCCGCTCGAGCTGACGATCTCACGGTAGTGGTTGCTCCACCGGAGACTGGTGACCTGCGAGCCCGTGTCGATGCTGTTGGTCCGCGCACCGGTGGTCGTGTTCCAGAAGTGGATGTGGCGATCGTAGGAGCCGCCGCCGGTGGCCAGCAGGTTGAGTTGCCAGGGACACCAGCTCAGGGCTTTGACCGCGGCGCGGTGGTTCGTCTTGGTGAACTTGGGGGCGCTGAGAGAGCGCGCATCCCAGATGTTGACCAGGTTGTCATTGCCGCCCGTTGCCAGCTGGGCCCCGTCAGACCGCCACTCCAGGCCACAGACCTCCGAGGTATGCGAGACAAGCTCGGCCACTTTGTGTTGGGCGATCCGTACATCGTGGTTGAAGACGAGACCGCTGCGTGCCCCAGTCGACAAGGTGTGCTTCGACCACCCCATGACACCTACCCGTGACTCGTGGCCAAACATGCTGCGCAGTTTCGTGCCCTCCTCGACGTCCCAGATCTGCACCTCACCCGTTCCCAAGCCGACGCCGACGTACGCCCCGTCGCCACTCCACTTGACACTGCTCACATAGGTGTCGGCAGGGCTCTCTAACAGGCAGCTGACCGTCCCGGAATCGGCAGACCAAACGTAAACGTTCCGTTCCAGGCCAATAGCCACCTGGTTGCCGGAACTCCAGTCCAGCAGGTTGAGGTAATAGTCGTCGACCAGGCCAGGGGCATCCAAGACCCGCTCGGGAGCCGTCTGCACTCGCCGCCGGAATTGAGCAGAAGAGGGCTTGTTTTGGCGCAAAGGACGGTTGTACTGGGCGCGGAGATCAATGGGCTTGGACGACTCCGGCGGGGGTGGCTTGAATGCCAGGATCCGCGTGTTCAGATTCACTCCACAAGCATCCGCCAACGAGGACTCGTATGCCACCGCATCGGGAGCAGGACGGGCATAGGAAGCGGTTGGCTCCTCGTCGTCCAGGCCCAGGTTCTCCAGCGCAGCGGTCAGATCATCCTCCGACCCGCGGCCGCCAATGTCGAACGCACTCGCAGCGCTGGCCAGCACAGCCGACCCCTCCCCGCCACTCGTCTTCGGGCGCTGACTATCTTCAGGCTTGGCTGCCCCGGCTGTCGCCAGGCCCTCACTGGCCGCACGATTGGGAATAAAGCGATCCCCGGCATTATGTGCGATTCGGACGGTGGTCTTGTTCGATCTTGGGCGACTCGAGACCTCCTTCCGAACCCGTTCCTTTGCAGATGGTGACTGCGTCCCCGACGGACCGGTGCCAGTCAGAGTCCACTCAGAAACCCCCAGTTCCAAGTGTTTGGGCGATCTGCGGATCCGCGCAATGTTCGACTTTGGTGACTCTCGGTAGGTAGAACGGCTGGGCTTCGGCATTGACGACTTGGCGAAGTATGACGACAAATTTCCACCGTACACCGACTGCGAAGATGTCCGGTTTGATTCCCCCGACTGACGAGCAGGGGGTGTAAATGGGGATGGCGAGTCCTTTGACTGGTTGGCAGGTCCCGCCGCGGCAGTCCTGGTGCGAGGAGACGGCGTGAGTGGGATACGGCATCCTGCCGTCTTCGAAAAGAGACCGTGGTGACTCTTAACGGGAGTCGAGACCGATGCAGTAGCCATGATAGCGTCCAACAAATAAATCTCTCCTCTTTCTTCAACAAATTGCTCAGACAGCTCCGTCGAGCAACGGAGTCAACAAACGAATAGAATACGCAGTATTGGAGATCTCAATCGATGATCGATCCCCAAAGATACACTCTGTGAAAAACAGTAGATGGACAGCAGAAAGCAACAAGCGTTGTATACATAAAAGGAGCAGGAGAATCCAGGAGACAAGCTCTGCAGGCGAGGGGCATAAATAATCCCTTACCCTCTCCTATACTTGGATTTCTCCCATGGCAACCGTTACCGGAGGTACGGCCTGTACCCGCCGACGCTAGTCCCAGGAAGGCCTAGTACTAGCACATGACATGCGGCTCCGCTGCTCTTTCCATTTGTGGCGATCACGGGGCTTGGCAACCTAATTACTAATCAGCAACCCTGCCCAGAACAGCAGGTGCCGTCCTTGGGCCAGGCGGGATGTGAACAGGGAAAGAAGGCTTAGACGCACACTCGAAAGGAGCGCGTTCAGAGCACTGGGAAGACTCTGTTCAGTGCTGCTTCTGGTCCTTCTGGCCTGATGCAGACGGCACAGCAGCAACAGCAACCGTTGGCGGTGGCGGGCGCGGTCGACTCCCCTCCAGACCCACCATCGTCGCATGGCTCTGCCGCAGGGGCGAGTCGGGCCCCCTTCTCCCCTTCGACGCTCCAGGGCCGGGATATCACATACTTGATGCCGCCGAGTCCAGCGGCCGGGGGGCGGAACGGGTTGGACTATCGTCCTAGCATCAAGAGGGCGCAGGGGCAGGTTCCTGCGTGTCTGGTGAACGCCTCGGTGACGTACTGCGGCGACGATCAGATCTACGCTTTTGGCGGCTTTGATCAGTATACGGATGAAGGTGCATGGGACCCTTGATCAATCGGGAAGATTGTCGATACTGACGATTTCTTGTTTTTATGTCGATAGTGTACAACCATGTTCTTCGGTTAGATCTGAAATCGCTCCGTTGGGAGCTGGTGGACAATTTCGGGGCGATTCCCGGTGTTCGCATGGGTTCGTCGTGCTATCTACATCCAAATCATTAAGACAAGACCTCTAAATCTTGGACCTTTTCTTTCTAGGTCATACGGCGACGTTCTACGAAGGGAATAAATTGATTGTTTTTGGCGGGGAAAATGAACACCGGGAGAACTTGTCGGATGTCGTGATTCTCGATATCAAAACCTCCACATGGACCCAGCCCGAGGTTCGAGGACCGGTGCCGCAGAAGAGGGCACGCCATGCAGCTGTGATCTACCAGGATAAACTTTTTATCATCGGCGGAGTGACTGGCGAAAACAACGTTATTCTAGACGACCTCTCGTATCTAGACCTGAAAACATGGACCTGGTCCAGAACATGGAGCTTCGCGGCACGGTACGACCACACAGCATGGGTTTGGAGAGACCGTCTCTGGATCTTTGGCGGACTCGGCCCCGACATGGAACGGACCACAGATCTCTGGTGGTTAGATCTCAAGGGCTCCCCGTCTCTAGGAATCAACTCGTCTCAAGGTACCGTGGATTCCCCCTCGCCGCGCAATCGGATGACTTATAGGCTAGGCGCTGCGGCCAGTCCATCACAGCAGAGCCCCAGTCGATCGGGTGGCTACACGGCAAATTCGGCGAGTGTACAGGTCCGCACGTTCTCTCGACGCCGACCGACGGCGCCTGGTGCCATCTCCTGTGTGAGCTTTCAGTCCGGACCTCAGATGCCGACATTGCTATCGGGTACTCGCTTCCAAGCCTACGCGTCGGGCGCTCTCCTGGATCTCATCACCCCATCAGAGACGGCACGGCCGTACCAGTGTAATCTTTCCTCCCTGGACCTTGATACCCTCCGCTGGCAGAGGTTAGCGGATGGCCCGGAGATTTTCAGTCTTGGGTATCGATGGCACTACTGCACCATCAATACAAGTGGTACGAAAGCGTGGTTGCTAGGATGCAATCTTAATGCTGCTGGTAATACCCCGGGTTTCAGTGATGAGAACCACATGAGCGAGATTCTGTGTATCGATCTGGAGAAATACGGACTCCTGGGCAATGAACTGTCAGCGACTGTGCTGGACCAGTCCAGCAGTCAGGCCACTAATCAACCAGGCTCGCCCCTGGTGTCCGGTCTAGGTGCAGACTTATTGGCGGTCTTTGACCAGCCTCCGGAATCCGGTAGCGGTACAGATTTTATCATCACCGCTGACCCGATCGACCCTGATGATCTAGATTCTACGGAAGATGGTTCTTCAACCCCGCGATCTCAGCCCGAATTCCTCTCCCCCAACGCAGTGACCTCGCCGCCCATCCACGTTCATCGAATCATTCTGCAGCTGAGATGGCCGCACTTCAAGCGGCTTTATTCGGCGCAGATGGCCGAGTACCACGCGAAGCGGATGCATATTCCGGAACCCTACTCGGTCGTCCGCGCGTTTCTCTACTACTTGTACACCGATAGCATTTCCGGCCACCCTGAATACTGTTCCGCCACCACCGACGTGGCGGGCATGCTCGTTATGGCCAACCTCTACGACATGCCTCGGTTACGTCTGCTGTGTGTTCACCGGCTAAGCCGCGAACTCGACGTGGAAAACGCTGCCATCATCTGGGAACGAGCGTCGCGGACCAATGAAGAATGGCTGATGCGCCGCGCTGCGCAGTTCTGCCTCGCACACTGGGGGCGCATCGTGCGGACTGACGGCTTCAAGTCCCTTGCTCGTCAAAGCCTGATCGAGCTGTGTGAGGTAGTCGACACAGATGGGCGTATCGTCGCCGGCCCCGAGCTAGAGATTATGGCCGCGTTGGGCTCGGATGGGCTAGGCCTACATGCCGGTTCTAAACGGTCCCGTCTGGCTCTTGCGGGGATTGTCGGCGATGACCTTGATGAAGTGGATGACGAGGAGATCGAAGGAATGGACGTTTCATGAGATGTCGTATATCATCATTGCATTTTACGGTGTTCCTCCCCTCTTATATCTGTATCGACGGAGGGTTACTGAACATATCCCCTCGGCGGTGGTAGTGCTTACAGCAAATATCTTCGCATCGTGACAGAGTATACCTTGTATAAATGGTCTCCAAATGTTGTATTGTTCAATGATATCGGCGGGCGGCCCGCATACCCGACGACTTTTCCCCCCTCACCCCCACACTCAGTGATCCAGGGTCCTGGAGCCTCTCCACCAGATGGAGTCGCTAAGACGGGTAATTGTGGTTTGGGAAGAAATAGCATGATGCAATGGGTCTGGTGCTACTCGGAAAATACGGTCCTCAGCCAGTTGCAAACTGTCGCTCGTTGATTATTATGGCTGATGGGGTGACTTGCAGCTCACCCCTCATCGCCATGATATTTATTTAGTTGCCCATGTAGCACCACCCTAGAGCCCCTCAGTTCATTTCCCTACAATACACTCGTCTCTGAGTTTTGACTCTTGCAGGTTCCTATCTAGAAACCGGGCATATATAGAAGGTGGTTTTCTTTACCAAGATGGGCACTTCTACCGCAACTCTACCTGCGGATTTCCTGTGGGGATTTGCCACGGCCAGGTACGCACCTGTCATTCCTTGCTCGATCGACCCTCCAAGACACTGATGCTTGTACTGACTGACGGTCTCCTCCTCCAGCTACCAGATTGAGGGCGCCGTGAACGAGGATGGGCGTGGCCCCTCCATCTGGGACACATTCTGCCAAAAACCCGGCAAAATTGCCGACGGCAGTTCCGGCGCAGTTGCCTGCGATTCCTACCACCGCACACACGAGGACATTGCGTTGTTGAAGCAGTATGGGGCGAAGGCGTATCGGTTTTCGGTTTCCTGGTGGGTTTCCCTGGTTTGGTTGAAAAATAAGAACCCAAAAAGAAAAACCAAAAATCATCGACTATAATGACATGAACAATTCAGGTCTCGAGTGATTCCGCTTGGCGGTCGCAACGATCCGGTCAACGAGAAGGGCCTTCAGTTCTATGTGCGGTTCGTGGACGATCTGTTGGCTGCGGGGATCATTCCCATGGTCACCCTGTTCCACTGGGACCTACCGGATGAGCTCGACAAGCGGTACGGGGGGATGCTTAACCAGAAGGAGTTTGTGGCCGACTACGCCAACTATGCCCGGATCATGTTCAAGGCGCTCAGCCCACGGGTGAAGCACTGGATCACCTTCAACGAACCGTGGTGCAGCAGCGTTCTAGGATACAACACCGGCAGCTTCGCGCCCGGGCGTACCAGCGACCGCTCCAAGAGCTCCGTGGGTGACAGTTCGCGCGAGTGCTGGATCGTCGGGCACAATTTGCTTGTGGCTCATGGGGCGGCGGTCAAGATCTACCGAGAGGAGTTTAAGACACAGGCCGGCGGAGAGATTGGAATCACACTCAACGGTATATGAAAAGCCTTTTTTCTTCTCTCGTTATTACTATTGATAGATTGCTCTGACCTAATTCTCAAGGCGATTGGACTGAACCATGGGATCCCGAGAACCCTGCAGACCGCGAAGCGTGTGACCGCAAGATCGAGTTTGCCATTTCCTGGTTTGCGGACCCTATCTACCACGGGAAGTACCCGGACAGCATGGTGAAGCAACTCGGGGACCGGCTGCCACGCTGGACTGCCGAAGAGCTAGCCCTAGTGCAGGGTAGCAACGACTTTTACGGGATGAACCACTACTGCGCGAACTACATCAAGGCCAAGACGGGCGAGCCGGACATCAACGATGTGGCGGGAAATCTGGAGATCCTCATGGAAGACAAGCACGGCCACAGCATCGGCCCGGTGACGCAATCGCCCTGGCTGCGGCCGTACGCGATCGGGTTTCGCAGGCTGCTGAAATGGCTCAGTGACCGGTACGGCTCCCCCAAGATCCTCGTCACCGAGAACGGCACCAGCCTCAAGGGCGAGAACGACCTGCCGCTCGACCAGCTGCTTGACGACGAGTTCCGCGCCCAGTACTTCCGCGACTACATTGGCGCCATGGCCGACGCATACACCTTTGACAAGGTAAATGTCAGGGGATACATGGCCTGGAGTTTGATGGAGTAAGCTTTATCTTTTCCCCTGCTTGTGTCTTTCCTTTCGTCAATAATGATTTTTTTCTTGCTAACGTTTGTAGCAACTTTGAATGGGCCGAAGGCTACGAGACCAGATTCGGCGTCACCTTCGTCGACTATGAAAACGACCAGAAGCGCATCCCCAAGAAGAGCGGCAAGGTGATTGGGGAGCTGTTTGAAAAGTATATTGAGAAGTCGTGAAACTGCAGCTTAGTTTATACCAGTTTGATTAATGAACTGTACCTTAATAAGTATGCAGTGGAGATGGCATTGGATTACCATCAGACTTATAGTCTACTCTATTACCAGGCTTGACTGTACAACGAATTCAGCCCGAGTGGCTAGCTATAGAATAGCTCATGATATAATATCATTGATGATCACTCAAGGTCAGGTATCATCACACTAGATCACAGATCACCCTTGACCCACGCCTGAGTAACTGGGTCAAATCCTACCGTCTTGAAATCGATATTGAGCATCTTCAACATCGTTTCCATGGTGAAGTCCTATTTAGATCATTAGACACCAAAGCTCCCTGACCACTACCAAACCCCAAGTGATATCTATATAACATACCTCTTCAGTTTCTTTGCCCTCTTTGCTCTCCTCTTTCTGCTCCATCCGCTCTGCCCCCTCCAACCCCTCACCATCAAACCATCCAGACGAGGTATCGGTATCCCACCACGAACTAGACCCTGACCTACTATTCCCACCCGCTCCACGCTCTCTCCACCCTTTCATCCCGCCCATCTGCATCACCCGCTCCCGGGCACTATCGAAGACTTCCTCCGCGGCATCCTGGCTCACGGCCCGCCATTTCTGGATCAGCGATTCGAGCTCGTCGTCGCGTGTGCTACATTCCAGTTTTGTAGCTTGCTGGGCTGTCTCAAGGGTGGAGCGTAGCGTGGCGAGACGCGCCCTTAGGATCCTTTCTTGTTTCTGCAGGGAGACCAGCACTGGATCTGTGGATAAGAGAGATGAAGAAGAAGAAGAAGGTTTAGTAGACCGAACTAATCTGTTGTGTTTAGGAGTTGTAGGTAGACAAGCTTCAATTGGCTTGGAGGGAGTGTCAATGGCTGGCTCCGCTTGCTGGATGACTCTGCGTAGAGGGGACTTGAACGGCTTGGACAGTGCAGAGGCCGCGTGGTCGAGACGCCGGCGCTTGCTGCTCTGTTCTCCAGTCATTGCAACCAAGGTCGTTTATGAGTAGGAACTGTAGTCGAGAGAAATGATACGGGTGAAGGTTGAGCGTTTGAAGATGGAATATTACGGCGTACCTTGTCAATTCGATTTGGCTTAGCTTACTCAGGTGACCTTTGTCTCATGTGGATTTCATAAATCTTACAATGTACATACGAAACAAAAAAAAAAAAAAGAACCAGAACCTCAATGACCGACACCACCGGCCACCCATTGCGCAAACTCCGGCTCGCCAGGCTGAGGAAAGAATCCCCGATCGTTGGCAGCATTTGCAGCCGCCGGGGGGTTCGCGTTCGCAGCCCCTACGCCGCCAGCATTGTTATTATTGTTGTTGTTGTTGTTATTTGCACCGGGTCGGTTTCTTTGCTGTCTGAGATAGATCAGTACCAGGAGGGTCGCCGCAAGGGTGACGATGATCAGGCCTTCCAGTAGGCTTTCGTCAATGTCGAGCTCCAGATCATCGTAGTAGCCATCCTGGTGACTATCCCCGGCGCCCAACAAGCCTTCCTCGTCACCATCGTCCCCACGCTGCCTCGCCAGCTGGGCACGGTAGTTGGCTTCCTCTTCCTCGGTGTTTTCGATGAAAGCGATGATCCATTCCTTGAAAGTCCGGCGTGGTCGTGGTTCTATTGAAATCATTCATTGGTTAGTAAAAAGAAGAAAAGAACGCCCAGAAGAAAGGAGAAAAAAAAAAGAGAGATCTACCTTCATCTTCTTGAATCGAGTTGGCTTTCCCATGGGTGATTGTGTTCCAGAAGCTCCGCAGTCGCAATTTGATTAGGCTCAGTTTCACAGGGAGATACGCTTCGGTATTGGTGGCCAAAGCCAGGTCGTAGTATCGTTTTGCCATGTGGAAGTCTTGCTCCACAGCGATGCCATTTTCGTGCATCCAGCCCAGATTCCAGTAGGCCTGGGCGCTGTGGTGAGCCTCTGCGGCCGTGTGGTAGCAGGTGGAAGCCTTCTCAGTGTCCACCATAGCGCCATTTCCGGCGAGGTAATAGTCGCCCATCTTGACCAGCGAGTCGATGTTGGCCTGTTTCGAGGAGCGAGTCCAGTAGATCAGCGCCAAGGCTGCATTGCGTAGCAGACTGGGCTTCGGTTCGCTGGCCCAGGGCAGGAGGGAGTCTAGGGACAGCAACGACCGCTGGTCATCCAACAGGTACGCCACGTTCGCCTGGGCGTGTTCGTAGCCTTGCTCGGCCGCCATCATGGCGGGGATCAGGGCCCTCTCCCGATCACCCCGCTCGTATGCATCGTTTGCCTCGATGATAGAAGAATGGATCATCTCCGCCCGCTCGGCGACCATCTTGTAGTAGGATGCAGCGATGCCACAGTGGCGCTCGCGTCCGATCCCGTTGTTCGAAAGCTCGGCAAGGTAGTAAAATGCCTCCATCCAGCCCAATCGCGCAGCCAACTCAAAGTACCGGGTGGCTGTCGCCACATCTCCCTGGTCGAGGAACAGAGCGCCCAGCCGAGTCTCGGCCGCGGGATAGCCTTGGTCAGCAGCAGCCCTGAAGTAGGACGAGGCCTTGTATGCATCCTGGGGGACGCCGTATCCGTGGAGGTACATCAGTCCGATTTCGTGTTGGCACAGGGCATCGCCGTTCCGCAGCCCGCGTTTAAACCACGTCATGGCCGTGGCAAAGTTCTGTTCCACCCCTTCGCCGCGCAGGTACATGACACCAATATGACCGGCAGCCTTGGAAGCCAGTTTCTCGATATTTTGAGGATGGTTTGGGTTGACGGAGCCGTCCTTGTTCCAGTACCGTTTTGTGATTTGCTTGAAATACTTCATGGCTTTGCGGAAGTTCCGCGGCATCGTGCGGGCTCCTTCATAGTGTATCTTGGCCAGACCAAAGGTGGCTTCGACATTTCCCTTGCGGGACATCAGATCGAAGAATTCCAAGACATCCTCCAGGCTCGCATCGGCCCCGGCCTGTGCAGCGTCGCGCAATGCATTCGGCCCTGCACTGGAGACGCTGGCCCCTTCGCCATAGACACCTCCTTCCTCATCCGCCCAGCGGTACGACTCACGGATCATACCGTGGCCACCGGGGGGTCCCGACCGGTAATACTCGATCGCCTTGTCCGCCACCTTCTTGTAGTAGTAAGTCGCGTGGTCGCAATTCCTCGACGTCCCGATCCCGGCATGGTTGCGATACGCCAGCGTCATCTCCGACCGGGTGTTGCCTCCCTCCGCCGCAAAGGTATGGTACATCAGGGACTTGGCCTGGTCTCGCTCCACCGCGTCGCCAATCCCCGTGGCGTACATGAAACCCAACATATACTGGGCAGTGCTGTTCCCCTCCAAAGCAGCCAGCATGTCGTACCATTCAAACGCCTGTCTGAAGTCCCTCGGATGGGTGAAGTTGCCGTAAAAGTTCATCTCTGCCAGGAGAAACATCGCGTCGGGATTCAGATCCTCTTCGGCTGCTGTCCGAAGCTTCTGCACCGCGCGGGCGACCTGGGGATCGAGTTTCGGTTCTGTCGATTTCGCGTGTGGGTTGTTCAGGAACAAAACCCGGAGGGCCTTGTATCCATAATAGAGGGCGTTCCCCAGAAGGCCAGATGGCTTCTCGGCCTGAACGACCGCAACCACCTTGGCCTCCCGGAGCGTTCGAAGCGCAGACTCAACGAGCTCTGCCAGGCACAATCAATCACATTAGATAATTGTAATCATCTCCCAATAAGAAGAAGCAAAACAGTCATTCAAGACAAAGGGTATTAGGTATGTTCAAAAGTCTCACCACTTCCAGGCAAGGCATCGGCCTGCTCGTACACACGCGACCCTGATCCATCTCCAGCTTGTAGCGGCTCGGCAGTAACATCGTCCAGCACCTTCGCATCGTCGAGATGGCCGTTAGAGTCGATCGCAAGCGCCTGCACCAGCACTAAACAGCGCAAGGAGCGCGTCAGTAGGTCTTTCTCTCCAACATGCCATAGGGGGGGTCATCAAGACTCGAGGGCACCTACAGAGCGCCAGCGGGAGGAACCGCTGGAACGACGACGTTCTCATAGTGCGAGGGTAAACTTCAGATCATTCACGAGTAATAAAAGGCACATGGCGCCCTGGTCATCTCCTGGACCAGTCTCTCAAACCGATGGGTGGGAGCGCTCGACGGATCTGCCCTTGCCAGAGTAGTGAGTCGTGAGTCGTGAGTCGTGAGTCGTGAGTCTCTCAGCAGCCCGTCATCATCGGAACGGGCCACCTGTCACTCCGAGGCCTGAGGCAACTATCTATAAGTATTATCTATAGTAAGTAATCTTACGCATACTTCACTATCTACGAGTAAACTAGATAGGAGAACTGATTAATAACGTAGTATCATTTTTTCTTTTTCTACGCGGTGAGCTATGATGTGTACATAAAGGCAAACAAATGGCACAGGTACATTAGTAACGGGCTCTTCATGCAGACGTGGCAGGCAACACCACCAGGGGGACCAAAGCATCTCAGGCTCAATAGTAATAATAATAAAAAAAAAAAAGAGAACAGGGGATCGGAAAATCTGGATCTAAAAAAAAGCAAAAAGATGCGGTGGGTAATTTCTCAGTCTCAGGGGGGAAACCCGGATCGCCAGCCCCAGCGAGGCGAAGAAAAAAAAGGGACGACCATTCACAATTTTGGGGATCAGGGGGCGGCGTGAAGAAAGGATTAAAAGGACAAGGACTTTAAAAAGACCGCGGATGAAACCGGGATTTGGAGAGGAAGAAAAGCATACATTTGAAAAGGCTAAAAACGCCCAGATCGCAGGAGAAATAGAGCAAAAGATGAAGATGACCAGCCAATTCCGAGATCTGAGAGATGCAAGATGGTCCGATGACGGTTTGTTCGAATGGGAAAAGGGGATGGTGGTACAAGATACAAGGAGAGCCATGAGCAAAGAGAGAGCTCTTCACACCCTCAACTTCACTGGCGGGGAGACCTGGATGAATGGTTAGCAAATAAGGAACGAAGTCTGGGCTTCCGGCAAAGGAACTTACGAAGGGCTAAAGGCCGGCGAGGTCGGGCTGTACCCGGGAGACGTCGGGCCACCAGGAGACGTCGGGGAGCCGGCAAAGTTGGGTGAGGTGGGAGAGTACGTCTGCGGACTAGTGGGAGACCAGCCAGGAGAGGTGGGAGTGTACTTCGGAGAAGTAGGAGACGTGGGCGAGAGATGTCTGCCGGCGCCACCGATCGCCGGGCTGGTGGGACTGTAGCTCGGCGACGTGGGACTGAACGCAGGGGAAGCCGGGCTGAAGCTCGGAGACGTGGGGCTGTAGTTTGGCGAAGTCGGCGAGAATCCCGGGGACGTCGGTGAGTACGACGGAGAGGTCGGGGAAGCCTGGCCGTAAGCCGGCGACGTGGGGGAGTAGGCCGGAGACGTCGGGGCGAACGACGGACTGGCGGGCGAGAAGCCGGGAGACGTGATGAACCTAGGGCTGGTGATACCCATGCCAGGGGAGGTCGGCGAATAGCTCGATGTGGGAGAGTAACCGGGAGAGGTAGGGCTTGTGTTGAAGGGGCTGGTCGGGGAGTAGCCACCGGAGACAGCCGGGCTGAATCCGCCTTCGTAAGTCGCACCTTGGTACTGAGTAAGACCACCTGGAGTCTCCGCGCCAGCCTGGCGGATGGGCGAGAAGTTCGCATCCGGGTCTGGGGTACCGATGTATGCGTGCTCCTGCATGGGGGATCCGGTGTCATACTGGGTGGCCGCTCCGTCGGAGATGATCGCATCCTTGGCTCCAATCGCTCCAATGTGGAACCGCGCATTGTTCGAGACAACCGTGTTGAGCATAGACTGATCCAGGAAGATGTCGAACTCGCCAGTTCCAGCAGGAGCCATCTGGCCGAGGATCAAATTCTCAGACACGCCGCGGCAGTCATCCAGCTCGCCAAAGGCGGCAGCCTCAAGTAGAATTTCCACGGTCTCTTCGAAAGAACAACGCATGAGGGCACCGTTGTCGGCACGGTTGATACCATGGCGGGTGACGGGTGTGAGATAACCTCGCACGGTCATGACATCGACCAGGAGTGCGAGATGGCGGTGGTTGACGTAGGAGCCGTCAAAGGCCAGCACCTGGGTCAACTCACGCAGAACAGCGGTACGAGCGGCTTCGATACCAAAGACCTGGAAGACTTCGATAAACTGGTTGGAGTACGTGCGGGTGGAATCGACGCCCGGGATGGCCAGAACCTCCCCGAGCGCAGATCCGCTGGTTTCCAGCACCCATTCCTTGCAGAGAGGGTCTGTCTTGCTTGAGAAGAGAGTACCGTCCTCGAGAACCCGAACCTTGCTCTTCTCGTTGATGAACGCACGTTCAACCCCAGGTACACCACGGAGGGTCAGGGTATCCAGGAGATGCTGCTCCAGTTTCTTCAGAGTCACATCATATTCGATGTCATCATCGTCTTCATCGTCCTTGTAATCCTGGATCTGACGAATACGGATCACCTGCTCGTCGGCGTTGTTGTCGCTGAAGATAACAGCAATATCCTTGGGGTACGCCTGCTTGATCCGAGCGGCAACGTCCTGAACCGTGAGACCCTTGTCGAGAAGCTTGGGTCGGCTGAGGATGATACGCAAGAGCCATTTGGACTGGCGGGACGAATCATCCGCCACGTCTTCAGGGATGATAAAGTAGGACTCCACCATGTCCCTGTCGTTCTCAATCACGGTGGACTGAATATCCGGGTCGTAGTAGATTTCTGTGGCCTCCGTGACGGATCGCAGACTCGTGTGCTCGACGGCGCTTCGTAAAAACTTGGCTCCCTCCTTGTCGTGGGAGGACGAAGGATCCTGGTACACAGTCATCGATGGCGTTTTGATGTTGGTGGCGACGTTGAGAATTTCCTTGAGACGAGGCACACCAAGTGTGACGTTCTTCGAGGACACACCGGCGAAGTGGAAGGTGTTCAGAGTCATCTGAGTAGCGGGCTCACCGATCGACTGAGCGGCCAGAACACCCACCATCTCACCTGCTGCCGCTGCCGCCTTGGCGAACTTGCTCTCAATGGCACCGAGCACATACTGGAAAGCGAGCTTGTTCATAGAATACTCAGTGACGAGCCGGCGGAAAGCAAGACGACTGCGGAGCTGTGCCTTGAACAACAACGTTGCGTTGTCTTGGGCTTCAAGGGAGATCACGTCGTCGCCTCGGACGACCCACAACCGGTTGAGGAGGGACTGTACTTGGGGCACAACCTCCGCCGGGTGCAGGTCACTGATGGTTCCTTCACGGATTCTGAACGTGGTCTTGGCAGTTTCAATGATTCTCTGCACGTTGATGGGAAGCTGCATCATTTCATCATCTTCCTTGACAACAGAGCGCAGGAATGCACGGTCTTTGAGCAACGCCTCCCATTCTTCATCGAGATATGTCTGAACCTCCATGTCACCAGCAATCTCGTTTGCCTGCTCCAGCACGTCGGGCCCAAGGCTCATCTCGGGATCCATTAGGTCAACGCGGAAACGTTGCCTGAATCTCTCATCAGAGCAGCGAATCACATCAACCCGTTGATTTTCAATGTGCGCGCCGTCAAGTCCATCTTCTCCGTAGATGAACTGGATAATGTCACCGAGAGAGTTTCGAACCGTGCCGTCGTACTTAACCATCACTTCTTCCAATGCCTTGACCAACTTGCGCTGAATGTAACCAGTTTCCGCAGTCTTGACAGCGGTATCGATAAGACCTTCTCTACCAGCCATGGCGTGGAAGAAGAACTCGGTAGGTGTCAAGCCACGGAGGTAGGAGTTCTCCACAAACCCACGGGACTCGGGAGAGTAATCGTCCTTGGTGAAATGAGGCAAGGTGCGATATTTGAAACCGAAGGGGATACGCTTTCCCTCGACAGACTGTTGTCCGACGACAGCGGTCATCTGGGAAATGTTGATGGTTGAACCCTTCGAACCCGAGCGAGCCATCTGGATGGCGTTATTCAGATCCTTCAAACTTTTCTCGGTCGCGCTACCAGCCTCATCACGGGCATTGTTGAGAGCACGAGACACCTTACTCTCAAAGGTCTCACGGACATTCATACCCGGCAGCGCTTCTAAGGTGTTTTCAGTTGCGCTCAGCGTGATCGACTCAACCTCCTGCTTGCGAGCCTTGACGGCTTCCTCGATCTTTTGGATGGTGACAGCATCGGGGATGGTGTCACCAATACCAATACTGAAACCGTGGTGCAACAGCCAGTAGTTGACGATTGTCTGGGCACCGTTGAAGAAAGAGACGGCAGTGCTAGGTCCATACTCGTTGAAGATAGTGTGGATGACACCGCCGCCGGTGGCACCAACGGTTTTCTTGGAAAACATGCCATACATAAGCTGACCTCCGTGGACAAGAAGACCGCCATCATTGAGAGGAGCGAATTTCTCGGAGAGAGGAGAGTTGTCTTTTTCGACACGCAACAAGTTCAAGCCAGATGGCAGGGCCATGCTGATCAATTGTTTCCCGGTCCAGCGGGGACGGGGCTTCAAGATGGCGGGAGCAGGGATGACACCGTCCCAATCAGGAACCCAAAGCAGGAGATTCATCACCTGCTCCTTGGAGAGGAAAACATCACGACGACAGATTTTGTAGATACCACAGAGAGTATCCTGGACAATACCCATCAGAGGACCGTTTCGCTGGGGAGAGACAATGTTCATCGGAACCAGAGCGAGTTGACTGAGTTCAGCGCGCGCCTCTTCACTTTGAGGGACGTGCAAGTTCATTTCGTCACCGTCGAAATCGGCATTGTAGGGAGTCGTGACCGAAAGGTTCAAGCGGAAAGTGGAGTAGGGCATCACACGAACGCGATGAGCCATCATGGATTCCTTGTGCAGCGAAGGCTGACGGTTGAAGAGAATCACATCCCCATCCAGCAGATGCCGTTCGACTTTCCAGCCGTACAAAAGCTGCTGGCCGCCAGCCCGCTTCGCATGACGCAGATCGATGCGCTCGCCGTTATCTCTTACGATGTAGCGTGCACCAGGGTGCTCGTTCGGCCCGTTCATGATAAGCGCCTGCAGTTTGTCAATGTTGTAGGGGGTGACCACTTCAGGGTAGGTCAAAGTCCTAGCAATGCTTTTCGGCACGCCGACCTCGTCCAGAGACAAGTTAGGGTCACCCGTGATGACAGTACGAGCGGAAAAGTCCACACGCTTGCCCATCAGGTTCTGACGCAGACGACCCTCTTTGCCCTTCAAACGACTGCGAATGGCTTTCACCGGACGGTTAGATTTCTGCATAGCCTTTGGCTGACCCGCGATATCATTGTCCATGTAGGTTGCAACGTGGTATTGCAAGAGAGACTCGAATTCGCGGACGACATGTTCCGGGGCACCCTCCTGTTCGCAACGCTGGACGTTCTGGTTCGCACGAACGATTTCGGCGAGTTTGTATGTCAGATCATCCTCGCCGCGTTGGCCACTGGTACTGCCACCGACGAGAACGCTGGGACGGACTGGGGGAGGAGGAACAGGCAAGACGGTCAAGATCATCCACTCTGGACGAGCGTAGTCATTGCTCAGACCCATGATGCGGACATCCTCCTGGGAAATACTGCGGAAGACATTCAGGGCGACATGAGGAGTGATCACCTTTTTTTCCGGCTGTTGTAGATCCATTTCGTCGTCCATGCTTTTGCTAGGCTTCCAAGTACCGACCAGAGTAATTCCCTCCTTCCGAATCGTAGGCTGGGCATTTCCACAGCCACCGTGAGGCCTGAAGTTCTTGGGGTTCTCCTTGGCAAACGGGTCATCGTCTTCCGGGGGATCGGCTTCGCAGACGGAGACATCTTTTGACAGGCGCCAGATGTGGTCGAAACGCCTCTTGGGGTCACGGATTCGTAGCGCATCCAGGAATTTGGAATCGGACTGGTTTAGAGTCAGCAAAGCTTGCCATGTAAGATTTGCCATCCCAAAAGGGATGACTAACCGTGTTGGCCTTGATCTTTCCACAGTTGTGGCAGACAGTCTCTAACAGCTTCTTGATTTTTGTCAAGAAACCTGAGCAAATCCGTTAGCGACACCATAATCCTTTCAACCGTTCCGAACGGCTAAGGACACCGTACCGATATGGAAAACCGGTGTTGCAAGCTCAATATGCCCAAAGTGGCCTGGACACTCCTTCTGGCCCTCTTCACATGTTTCGCAAGTCCACTGTCTATCGATCGTGCCTAGACGGGGATCATTCAGGCCCTTAGTCCGAGGTCGCTGTCTCTGATCGTCCTATCGAGACTGTCAGCAGGTCCGTATAGCGTAAAAAGAAATACCAACACCTTGAAGAAGAAAAAATGGGGGGGAAGAGGAAGGGGAAAAAAAAAAAAAAAAAAAAAAAGAGCAGCGCAAACCATCGTCTCAGGATATTCCACATGAACCACACTCATCCGTTTGATCTCCTCCGGTGAGAAGAGACCAAACTGAATCTCCTTAATGGTGCGCAGAGGCGCTTTGGAGTATGGGAAGTAAACGTTCGACATGATGGCGGTTGTAGCGGAACGGTCGGGTTCGCGTCGTCACCAAGTGGTGCGTGTAGGAAGGGACAGCGTTCGCAGAGAACTGACTGACTCGGACCGCAAAAAGTCGCACAAAACGGAGTATTGACTCGAGCTAACACGGCAGCGATAAGGCGGATCGAAAGCGACGATGAACGGAGTGATGCACGCAGCTGGCAGGCTGAGGCCTTTGGCAGCCCTTGCCACGAGGGCGCCCGCGACCTTCGTGGAGCGACCGAGCTGAAGAGGCACCAAAACGCGAGAAAAAGCCGTCTGGATCGAGCGAAGAGGATCTCCAGGCGCGCCAAGAGAGATCGCGATGCAAAACGCGATGGTCCTGGACGGGGGGCGATGGAGCGAACAGCGAGCTGGGCTGGCCAAGGGGAAGTTGACAGAGGACGGAGTTGATGTTGCCTCACCTGCGATGGGGCACGAGTTTTCTGGGAGCCGCAGCCCAGCCACTAGCGCGGTGGTCGCTAAAACGCGGATACTAGCGCGGCGTTTACTATGCTGGGACCTACACCGCCCGCGTGTCATCACTGCCGACACCAAGACTAGCGCGCACAGTTTAAACAACCCCTCACCGCCCTGAGGTGCGCCTTTCACTGCCGGCCTTTTCGCGATAGAAAAGCAGCAGCAGCAGCAGTCAAAGAAGAGCAACTGCGCTGGATGACCGTGTCTGCCACACTGCGCCCTGGCGGCCTCTTGATTCGGCCCGGCATGAGCATAGCATAGCACCATGAATCTGTCGCTCATCGATCCGTTTGTCCTCGCCCAGGACTACCCAGACTCGCTGACGGGCAAATTGCGTGAGTTGGGGGTGGTTGATTGATTCCCTCGCGGGTGTTGCTGTCTACTGTTTACTAATGAGGGGAACAGGGAGCGGCCATGCCACCTGCCTACGCTTCAACCGCAAGGGAGACTACTTGGCGTCTGGACGAGTGAGTAGTTGGAATTTCTGTTCGGGAATTATGTGCCCTGTTAATCGAGTTTAGGCGGACGGAACGGTGGTGATCTTCGACCTCGAAACCAACGGGGTAGCGCGCAAACTACGCGGACATACGAGACAGATCCAGTCGCTGAGGTAGGGCAGATATCTGTTTTGGAGAAGAGAAGGTCTGACGGGAGGTTTTGCTGACCAGCTTACAGTTGGTCTCGTGATGGGCGGTATCTATTGAGCTCGTCGCAGGACTGGAAATGTATTCTCTGGGACTTGAAAGACGGATCACGGGTGCGGATTGTGCGTTTCGAAGCACCCGTATACATTGCGGAACTACATCCGTTCAACCAGTCAGTTCATGTTGTCTACGATACATGGGGGAAGTTCATGGAAGCTAACTAAGACGCGTGTGTGTGTAGCCTGCTTTTTGTCGCCTCGCTGTTCGAAGATCAACCGGTCCTGGTGGACATCTCGACCCCCAAAGCCGTTAAACGGATTCTACCCTCGGCGCCTCTGCGGGCCCCGATCCCCAACGGGGAGGAGGTCGACCCGGCGGTGGCGGCAAAGCAGGCTGCGCAGGACGCGAAACATTCGACGTGCGTGACGGTATTCACCGCCCTGGGCAACCACATCATCGCGGGCACGTCCAAGGGATGGATCAACCTCATCGAGACGCAGACCTGCCAGACCATCCACTCGGCACGGCTGTGCAACGGGGTGGTGATTCTGCTGCGGCTGGCGGGCAACGGACGGGACGTGCTGGTCAACAGCTCGGACCGGGTGATCCGGACGCTGCTGATGCCGGACCTGTCGCAGCTCGGGGTTGGGCTGGACGCGAGCGAGATCAAAATCAGCGTGGAGCACAAGTTCCAGGACGTGGTCAACCGGCTCAGCTGGAACCACGTGGCGTTCTCGTCGACGGGCGAGTTCGTGACGGCAACGACGTACATGAACCCGGACATCTACGTGTGGGAGCGCAGCCATGGCTCGCTGGTGAAAATCCTCGAGGGCCCGCGCGAAGAGCTGGGCGTCGTCGAGTGGCACCCGTCCCGCCCGCTCGTCGTCGCCTGCGGCCTCGAGTCCGGCTGCATCTATACCTGGTCGATCGTCAGCCCGCAGAAATGGTCCGCCCTAGCGCCCGACTTTGGTGAAGTCGAGGAAAATGTCGAGTACGCCGAGCGCGAGGACGAGTTCGACGTCCATCCCGCAGAAGAGATCCACCAGCGTCGCCTCGACGCAGAGGACGAGATCCCCGACGTGCTCACCATCGAGCCCGTCAAGGGCGAAACTACAGATCCAGACCTCGACGAACACGGCAACACCGCTGCCACCGCCTTCTTCCGCATGCCCGTTCTGCTCGACATCTCCGACAGCGAAAGCGAAGAGGACATCGTCGCCGTCGGCCCGGGTACCATGCGCCGCCGAAGTCCCGGCGCAGGCCGCGACTGGATGAATACAGACGACAATTCAGGTACGGATGGTGCAAGTACGAGAAACGGAACGACTCGACGAGGACGACGTAAATAAGTTTTTTTTTTTTTCTTTTTTTCTTTTTTCTCCCCCTTTCCTTCTCTTCATTTATCTTTTGTCCATTTTGGTGGAGTTGGGCCAGGCAGTTGGGTAGACAGGGCATTCGATTCGTCTTTTACTTTTATTTCACTTGACAAATCAAATCGTACTCATTCATAGCATCACATTTATTATACGCAACTCATAAAGCTACATGCTATCATCTAGCGACAAGCAATCGAGAATGGTTCAGTTTGTATACATCCCTCCCTCCCTTATTGTTCATTAACGCTTTCAAAACAGAAATCGAGATCAACGCCATTGTAAATGGGATGGTGAGATGGCATATTCAAAAGATAGGGGGTGAAATGAACAGGAGTTTTTTAAACGTAGATATCACCGAGGCCGTTTAAGCATGGGAGTAACCTTTCAAATCCAACCCGGAACGCCACGAATGCTGGTACTGGAAACATAGAAGAGTGAAAAGGAAAATGCTGCACCAAGCCCAGTGTATCATTTCTGCTCGTCATTCAATGTCGGTGAGCGGAGTCATTTTCACAGGATCAATAACATACTCCGGCTTGCGGTGTATCTGACATGAGGCAGTATGTGTAGTGTCTTCAGAAAACCCTGGCGTAAATCGCTGTGCGGGCAGCGGATTGCTCGGATGTCGTGGCTTTCTGGGAGTCGAAGGGATGGGGTCTGCTTCAACTTCATTCGCGGGTGTTTTGCCTTGCAGGTGTCCATATTCATGATTCTCCGCTGGGGTATATGTATATGTGTGTGTGTGTGTGTGTGTGTGTGTGTGTGTGTGTGTGTGTGTCTGTGTGTGGATTCACTTTGGCATTGGTTTCCGTGCTTGGTAGATGTGTAAGATATTGTAGGCGTGGACGTGCTTATTGAAAGCCTCCGACTTGACGTCGGCAGCGATGCGCTGGATCTTGTCGATGGGCCAGCCGAACACACGGCTGAAGGGGGCCAGACTCAGAGTCTCGATACTCTCGGAGATTGCCAGGTTATACCATCGGGCAACCTTGCGCTCATGCTCGTCCTGGTGCCAGGGGTTTAGGGGCAGTCCGACCATCTGGTGGTCGATCTCAGTGAAGCCGGCCTCCTCGAGATGGCGCAGAGTCTCGCGGGAGCTGTGCGACATGGGCCTCATGGTCTCCTCGGTGGCCTGCTTCAGACACTGATACCATTGACGGAGGGCTAGCCCGTCAAGCGAGCGGTCATCACAGCGGGGCTCGAAATCGATCTCGACCTGTTCGAACCAGGCGCCCGGCCGCAGGTGGGCGAAGATACGGCGGTACAGGTTGGGCCAGCTCGCAACACTCCCGGAGCCCATCTGCATGTGAATGAGATCCCACGATTCCTCGCCCATGGCCCAGGGACTCTCGAAATCAAAGGGGGCGTAGAAGTCGCAATTCTTGGGGTGATTCGGCGGCTGGATCGGGGCCAGGTCGACACCAACGACGAAAGCCTCCGGGTACTTATTGGCAACGTCGATCGCCCAGATACCGGTGCCGCAGCCTAGATCGAGCACACGCCCGTTGCTCGGATGCGGCGCGTAGATCAGGCCGTCCGAGACGCGGGCGACGGTGAAGAGCTTATGGAAGATGTCGAGACGATCCTGTTCCTGCTCGTCGCACGGTAGCGGGTAGATGCCGCGGCGGAAACCGTGATATAGCCGGCCGTTTTCCATGTACTCTTGTTCGGATTGCCTAGATAGAGGAGAATATTCGGTTTAGCGGTGACGATATTATCCCCCCCCCCCGAGTCTCGGTGACAGTAAAACCTACTTCTCCTGGTTTTGCGGTGCCCCGACCACGGGCGATCCATTTTTGATCCAACTCCTCTCAGCGGGATCCCGGTCGGTAATGGCGTAGATATCCATAGCATCGGAATTGTTTCTCGACCGAGCGATATCGCTCGAGGCGATGGTGGAGTTGGAGCTGTTGTGATTGTGCACCGAGGGGGGCGCCGGTTGCCGCTGGCTGAAAGAACTGCCCGGAAACATCTGGATCGGAGCTTTTTAAGAAATAGAATGAAATAAAATCAAAAAGATTCCTCGAGGATGTTTGGAAGCTACAGCAGCGGCACCGGTGCTTTGGGGGGGGGGAGAGAGAGCGGCGAGCAACCCACGATGCGGCGACGGGTGAGGCGTAACCATCCACGAGCGATCGATCGATTCGACGCAGGTCCACAGGAGCACGAATCCGACTTGTCCAACTTTGCAACAGGCGTGTTCCGTCTGCAGGTATCTGGGTAAGGTGGTGCACGTCGGTCAGTCACCAACCAGTAGTAGAACTCTAGGCGTTCGTTCACGAGAGCCCGGACACGACCACACCACGACCAGAAGACGGAGAGAGAAGCCCGTCCCGAGAACCGAACGACCGAGATGCAAGGGAAAGAGACGAAAGAACCCAGAACAAATGCATTGACAACCTGGTAGGACTGCCCTGGACGGGGCGGGCGGGGGGGAAGAGGGGGGGGGGAGAGAAAGGCGAAGGGAAGGGGAGGCTTTAAGGTTGCGCCGCTGTGGAAGCGCTGAACAGTGAACAGACCGTCAAACACGCTGTTTGTATTTATCGTAACTTATTACAGGAAGTAGTACTAAGTACAGAACAACTCTTAGCTAACTGGTAGGTTAGGTGGTTAGTTACTAGGTAACTAGTTACTTGGGTAGTAAACTCTACTGCTGTATGTTAAATACAGTCCCCTTACTACATAGTACCTACTAGGTACCTAATGCAGTCAACACTCCCTAACACCTCTGCCTACTTATCCTTATCATCGTGAGACATGTGAGTAGGTACTAAATGCCAGTACCATGGTACGACAAATGTCACTTTGACTTTCGGGTTTCCCGAACCTTTCTTTGTCTGAAATTTACAGTACGAAAATATCAGGTACGAGTACCAGTAACTTTATCATGGTACCTAGGTAACTGGTACGGAGTACCACCTACTAAGTGAAGTTAAATACCTACCTAGTACTACTCCCTCCTAGTTGTTACCAGTAACCAGCAAACCCAGCGCTCTGGTTGCAGAGATGAGAAGCTTCGAGAGTGGCGCCCACTCCCGGAAGACACAGCCAGACCCATCTATAGCCGCTGGCATTGCGTGCAGCCGCCCACGGCCCAGCAGTCGATCCAGCGCTGCTGAGCCCATTCGCTGTTTCCCCTCACGCTGTGCTGCTCACCGCTCCCAGGCTCCCAGACGCTCGGGTCCATCTGTCTCAGCCTGGCGAGTCGATCACTGGATACGGAGAAGGGAGTACGGAGTATCTTGGATACGTTGAATCACTGCTAGTTAACTAGTTACTCACTGCTAACTAAGGTAGTTACTACTAACTAGTTGACTAGGTAGAAACTAGATACGCTCCCTTCCTCCCTTCCCCCCCCCCCCGAAATGAAGTCCAACGAAACCGCCAGCTCATCATGATCCCATCCCATGACGTATCATATTGTCCGACCACGTAGGGAACGGGCATGGACTAGCATCGCTGGGTTCAATAGACTGGACGAACCGGCGTTTTTGCTGACTCGCAAACCATCCTGGCAAGGCTGGAAAATTGGAATACCCTCACCGGAGGGCGCCTAGTGGGTGTCGTTGCACTTCTCCACCTGAGTCAGACCCGAGTCAGTGGGCTCACAGCCAAAGGCAATCGACAGAGGGGTCCGAGGGCGGTTGGACGAGACGCCCCGGCGCATACGGGAGTACGGAGTAAGGTTGTACGGAGTACGGCCTACGGAGAGGATTCTGATGGAGATGGAGTACAAAGAGGCACAGAGAAGTCGCAGGATGGAACACACGTCCTCCCCTCGAGAACTACTCTTGTTTGATTCTGGCCGTCTCCACACCCAGGGTGACGAATCTGAATGTGACACGACCTCGTCCCTGTGTGTAGGTACTAGGTAGTACCAAGGTCACGGAGTGGACAAAGACATCTTTTGGCCCTACAACGAACAACCCAAACTAACTACTAGTCAGCTCACTAACCTGACTAAACTACTCGACAGGTCGCCCTCATGTTCACCTGCAATTTCGGTTCCAGCAACCTGGCTCTGCGACTGGGATATCGTTTGTCTTCCAGCTAGGTTCCCAACCGCCAAGCCCCCAACCCAGTTTTACGTACGGAGTATACCCTCAAACGAGCCCTCTCGGACGCCTGTCCTTCCCTTCTGGTTTTAGTGAACACCTAAACCTCGTCTAGGGCCAGGTCACTTGGCTACGGTCGAGGAATCCCGCCTCGATGAGGCACTGCTGTATCTCTGGGCCTGTGCCATCACGCGGCTTTTCCCACCCATTCATTCATTCCCCGTGAGTTTTTTTTTTTTTTTTTTTTTTTCATCTAGCAAGCCTCGTTGATCGCCGCGAGCACTGAGACCGACGTTTCTCCGTCGAGAACTTGGCACATCGGGTCCTTAGCCTCCGTGAGGATGTTGAACCACGCGATGGCGAGTCTTGGAGAGGTTCGTGGTCGCATGAATGCCATCCGTGAGCGCCAGTAGGAAGCCTCCACGGGGCACTCTACTGCCACCAGGAGTAGAGACGGTCTGGTGGTCCAGAGAGAGTCGATAATCTCATCCGGCAGTTCGGTCAGTCTGGAGGTGAATCTGCTGGCAGACTTGTTCAGACTCTTTTTCTTTTGTCAAACTCCAAGAATTTTTTTCGTTTTGATAGAATTCCAACGGCAATTCTATGGTAAAAAAAATCGGCTGGAATTCTCGACGTACCGTCCGACCCTTCCATTACCCTTATCCATCACCTCTTGAGCCCTATGCAGCATTAAGCTGTGAAGAGCTCCTGATGCTTTGAATCCAATCCGGATCCGAAGATGGACCGCGCCATTGTCCAGCAGCACATGGGGACGGTCAACACTGGCCTGTACCAACCTACTTTTGGCTCTCTCTCCGTCACCGCGAGAGATGGTGCTCATGCCTGTGACTTGATGGCATCAACCAGCGCCGTCGGTTGCTGATGAAGTGTCTTAGGATGCATCTCAGGATGGGACTCCAACGGTTGTTTCGAGAAAGATGTCGCCGCCGCCGAGGGCCACAGACACTGCGTCATCATCAAGCGTGGCATTTAAGTAATTCTATACATTGTACCTTCTACCTAAACGGTTATGGATGTTATAATACATGACTAAGTAATCATATATATAAGATGGTGGATCTCGACCATTCCATGCGGCCCATATATATAAATGAACTTGGAAAAAATATGACATATTCATTTATCTCTAACTAGGTATAAGGATTACTCTATTTTCGTCTTATTTATTTATATTCTTGCTATAAACAATTTAACACCAATTTATCTAAACCGATCATCCAGATATTAGTTAGACCTATTTCCAAGTGCTGTAAGTTGATTGGACAGCCTTAAATAATTTTACATCACCAAGTGCTGAAGAGTGTGCCACTGTACACGCCTCTGCCTCGTTGCACCATACTAGAATAGATTATTCTTTTTCTGCCTATTTCTTTTTTGTTCTCAATATAAATGCACACCCTCAAAGCAACAGGGGCTTCCTCCCTCTCCCTCCCTGAGGGGAGCTACATCTACGCCCTCGCTCCCTGTTCCGCGGGGCTGGCGGCCATCTCATCGGACGACTCGCTCCGGCTCATCGACTCGGCGAATTTGAAGCAGATCTCCGTGCTGTCGAGTCAGACGCACTCAGGCGGCGTTACCTGTCTACGTACCGGGGCTGGTGAACAGGGAACCCTGTTGGCTACGGGGGGGAGAGATGGGAAGGTCAGGTTGTGGGATGCGAATCGGACGGCCGGTGCGACTGTTGAATTCGAAGCATGTACGTTACCCCCTCCCTTTTTTTTTTGAATCATCTTCAGAGAGAGAGAAGCCCAATTTCAATGTACTGGAACGCTGACGTGCTAAGTGAAAAATGCACCGGTGCTGTCTGTTGCGTGCAATGCTGCTACCAACACTGTCGTGGCGGGCACCGAGCTGGTCTCCTCGCAGGCTGTTGTGTCTTTCTGGTAAAAACCCACTGGGAACATCCAATCAGGTCTAGATATGGAATTATTAACTCAATGTTGAAAAGGGACATCAGATTCCCTCGTGAGCCCCGTCTTCAATACGTGGAAAGCCACAACGACGACGTCACAGAAGTATTCTCCCTTCTCTTCCCTTTCTTGTCGATATAGGTTGTGCTGATTACCAGCTCGAATATCACCCGACACAAAACCATATTCTCCTCTCCGGAAGCACCGACGGCCTCGTCAATATCTACGACACAACCATTCAGGACGAGGACGACGCCCTCGTGCAAGTGATCAACCACGGCTCCGTCCATCACGCAGGCTTCCTCTCGCCAGACACCGTCTACGCGCTCAGCCACGACGAGGTCTTCTCCATCCATCCCATGACGAACCCGGACGATCCGCAGAAAGAGCCCGAACCGGTCTTGTTCGGTGACCTCCGCGAACCTCTCGCCTGCGAGTATGTCGTCCAGCTTTGTCCGGGCGGGGCAGGGTATCTCGCCGTAGGAAATAAGATGTACTCCTCCCTGATTTTCTGGTTTGTCTGTCTGCCATGTTCAGTCTGCTAACCTCATAGGCATCAACGGCTCGATCTCATCCCCCTGGTCACTCCCTGGCAATTCGACCAGACGAATCTGTGGCGTCTTCCCGGCGCACATGGCGACGAGGTTGTCCGCTCGATATACCTCGATGAGGGGGTAAGCTCTATCCGAGTTTCGATTGATAAGCTTTATCCGTGCTAACTCATAGATCAGTCAAGAAGTGTCTTTACATGTGGCGAGGATGGCTTCGTGCGTGCCTGGCGGGAAGAGGGCGGCGGTGGTGATAGGGAGACAGAGATGGAGACAGAGACGCCCAAGCCCAAGAAGAAGAAGTTCAATGAGAGATACAAGCCTTACTAACTTCAAGTTGTCAATATAAAGTACCGTTATACTACATAGGTTTGTTGTATTTATGCACTTATGCATATTAAGTAATATTTATGCTTGCGATAAGATAAGAAATTTTCCTCTTCACGATTTCATCACAACACCACTTCCACCTCCTCCTTCACCACCATCTATCTACATTCTTTATTATAAAACCACAGAGCCTCGCTCTGTAATTAGAAAAGAAAAAAAGAGAAAAGGAAAAAAAATGGACGCTCAAGCCTACCTTATCCGCCACGGCTGGTCCGGCCCTGGCAACCCACTCAACCCCTCGCGCCGCCCAGGAACACACAGCGGCCTCGGTCTGACGAAACCGATTCTCATCTCGCGCCGGACAGCGAACCAGGGGGTCGGGAAAGTGACGACCAAAGATCCTACGAATCAGTGGTGGTTGCGTGGGTTTGAGGATGCACTCAAGGGCGTGGGAGAGGAGAAGGATGCGAATGCAGCGACTGGATCTACGGCAGCGACGAATAATGCGTTAACGAGCGAGCTGTATCGGTTCTTTGTCCGGGGGGAAATTCTCCAGGGATCACTGAGGGTCAAGGAAGCGGAAGCGGAATCGAATACAACGACGGAATCGGAGTCGAGTTCGAAGAAGAAAACGAAGCGGAAACGCGACGATAGTGATGATTTGGAGGGGAAGAAGAAGCAGAAGACAAGGTCTAGCGGGAAGTCAGATGACTTGAAAGAAAAGAAAGAATCGAAGGAAGAACGGCGACAAAGGAGGAAAGAGAAGAAGGAGAGGAGGGAGAGAAAGATGATTGAGAAGGCAGAGAAGGCGAGGCTGAAAGAGGAGAAGAAAAAGCTGAAGAAAGAGAAGAAGAAGAAAGAGCGTGAAGGCGAGGCGGATGAGAAAACCGCCGAAGCAGACTATCCCACGCCATCGTCTACAGATCTTGAGCAGGTTGATGGGAAGAAGAGCGAAAGAAAGAGCAGGAGCAAGAGCAAGAGTAAGACTGGAAGTGAGAAGGAGCCCAAGTCGGACAGTTCAAATTCCAAGGAGAAGAGGAAAAAAGGACAATGACAGGACCAAGTCTTGATTCCTGACTCTTCTGCTTTTCTTACCGAGCTCCTGCTTTCGTTGATGTATATACCTGAGCATTTGCATATACCCTGCAATACATAGAGAATATTTATTTCTGAAGACATACACTATGATATATCCTGACTAACTGGTAGCTTGCCCGGCTTGTTCGAGACAATCCACGGCCGTCTATCCCAGAAATCATCTTTGATGATATCCACATGGTCGACCACCACTTGCGCCTTTTTGCGCAGTTTGCGCATTTTTTCCTGTTGTGTTTTGGAGACAGGTTCAAGATCTGATGATGCTGCTTCTTTGCCTTCCTTGGTTTCTAGTTCATACTGTAGAGTAAGAAAAATTAATATTCAGGTATCAAACAATCATGCTTAAAGTGAATCAATTCCTACCTGGCGATACACCACGCTGCCCTTTTTATAGATCTCGAGCTCGTTGTTATAGTTGATCCCGAACCGTCTGAAGAGGATCTCGTTCTTGTCGGACGAGACAGTTCCCTAAGCCATCAGTATATATAGTCTGGAGAAGATCAGCTTTAAAATAAAAAGATGGATACCTTCAGTTCCTGCTCGGCATCGGTATTGCTCATTCCTCCCTTGAGCACCATAGCCCAGAAAGTAGTATTGTAGAGATTATTAATATGACCTAAATCAGAATCAGCATGACGCCGTTGTATGTAGAGAAGGTTAGAGAGAGAGAAAGAGATTTACAGTCGACCTGCCGCCAGCTCATGTAGTCTCTGAGATTCCGTGTGGATGGGTAAGTGACAGCCCGCCCATCGAAGGAGGGCAAAAATGGCGGCTTGAGAGGTGTTTCAGTGAAGAAGGTATTCCAGTGGTAAATATAGTGTGCTGTAAAGGTCGACACGACGGTCGTCACAATCTTTCTGTTCCTTTTCAGCTTGGTTCTAGCAAGTAAGAGATAGCCGTCCTGGAATAGATATACTTACGCACTCCGTCGCTCGAACAGTTCGCAGGTCGGATGGAAAACAAAACTAGCCGGTCAGTATATAGGATGCTGGATAGAATAACCGTATCTGTCCAGCTAGGGGCACTACCTATATTCATCGCTGACCCCGTACGCGAGAACTAGATCTGGCAGGTCTTTCATCACCTCGACGGCCGCCTTGTTCATCAGATCCAGCGCCCGCCGGTCATTGGGTTTTTGGAATGCATAATGATCGGACAGTCTAGAATATCAGACACATGGCATACAGAAAGATAGAAGGATATCTGGACCGAGTCAAACAGAAAACGTACTTGTGAAACCCTCGTCCGTCGACCCGCACTACAACCCAGGTATTCGGTAACAGGGCGTCTGGCTGCTCAAACCCCTTGACGTATTCATATCTAACAGTCAGCTCAGCTGTGTCCAACATATCTTCTACACAGCTTGTACTTACTTTGAGTTCGCCATGACCAGTCACTGTTGACGGAAAAAGCGAGGAACAATTAGGTGAGTTCAGGTTGTGTGCTGGAAAGCGGCGAAATCAAATGGTGGGACTGAGATACCCGTGGATTTTCAATAATAAATACTTCAGAATTTCTCTGACACTATGGTATGCTAACAGTGAGGTTAGTCAAAGACATAATAATCTAATAGACGTTTTACTCTGCTCAGGTTTAGAATAATTCAAAAATATTGTTGACATACGTTATTACATTGGGAGATACCTAGAACTACCTCCAATTGGTGATCTCGACACTGTTCTATTCTTTATATGCAGACCTTTTCGTTGCGATGGAAAATCAAAATACCTGTGGAGGCCTAGAGCTGAACAAGGGATCTGTGTCTGGCACTGTATATAGAAAATCCTAGTATTTGAGAGGCACCAAGCCAACCTATTGCTGGCCTATGTAATAGACAATCCAAAAGAGAGACGGAGACATGCGCGAATGGCAGAACGAATCTGCAGGTGCTATATAACTCTTAGAGAAAAGAAAGGAAAGGGAAAAGAAAGAAAGGAAATCTCGATTCAAGGAGTGGGGAAAGGGGTGAGTTCCTCGGGGATATCCTCGTCTCCAGTCTCGCTGGCTCGCTCGCTCGCCTCGCCGATGCCCTTGTCGGACTTCTTGGGTTTGCGCGAGAAGAAGCCCAGGCTGCTCTTACTCGACTTCTCGGCTGACGGGGTGCTCGAAACCGTGCTCTCAAGGCTCCTTCCGAGCTGTGCCTCGCTGCCGACATCCTCATCGATGTCGCCTTGCGCAGAATCGCCCTTCTTCGAGAAAAGTCCCGACCGATCCTTCCAGGAGCTAAACTTACCCGAGCTTCCCTTGCGTGTAATCTTGCGGATGAATGACTCCTTCGAGCTGTTCTCGAGAGACGTACTAGACGGCATGCGCTCCAGGGATTCGTACGAATCCCCGGTGAAGGTGGAGAAGGATTTCGAGTCTCGAGACGCCCGGGACTCCGACGGCGAATTTTCATCGACGTGGAAATCAATCGGCGCATCCAACTCTTTATCCCTGACCTTCTCTTTGTCTTTCTCAGACTTCTTGCCACCGAAGATCGTCTTGAACGAGGGCGCCGCAGGGTTCAACTTAGGAGTCACGGGCCGATGGGATGAGGATGGACGCGTCCCGATCGGGGCCTGAAGAGGACGAAGTTGCTTGTCGTATGAGGTGGATAAGAAATCGGGTTCCCCCGTTAGTCCTAGAGGCAGGTGACCAGAAGAGCCGTACGTGATGGACGGCCGTCGTGATTGATTCCGTGACCAGGTCGAGGGCGAGGCCCACCCAAAGCCAAGCAGGCTTCGGTGATCAGACTTCTCAGCCGTCGGCCAGCCGAAATGTCGATTGTCCGTGGACGGGTGCGGAAGCTGGTTGTCAAAAGAGAAAGTAGACGAAGGCCTGGGCGACTGTGACCCCCGTCTTACCGTACCTAAAATAGATGACGGGTCAATGGGATCATGCCTGGGACTAAACTGGTTATACCCAGTGTTCAAATCCAACGGATCAGACGATTTAGCGAGACCGCTCGAGCCACCTAGGCCAAACTTGCTGGGCGAAAAGATGCTCGAAAGAGCAGCTCTGCGCGAAGTAATGTGGTCGGATGAGCTGTCTGCGGTAGCGCCAGTGGTGTTGCTTCGGGGAAATAATGAGATCGGATTCGCCCAGTTTCCGGTGTAACTCAACCTGCGTCGTCTAGAGCCAAGCGGGTCGATCTCGTCAAGGTTCCTGGGGAACGACTGACTCTGACCGGCCTTCAAAGTCCCAAGAAGGGGCCCGTCAGCGAGGGTCTTACCACGAGGGCGATGAAAGCCAAAGAGACCCGAGAGCCTCCGCGTCGCACTTTTCGCAGCATTCGGTTCGTCTGTCAATGGCGAGGGTTGGTCTTCCGACTCGTGTGATCGCTTTGGATCCTCATTTGGACTGGCAAAAATGCTTGCTGGCCGACTTCCGGATGAAAGTGGCGATGGGGGTACATGCGGAAACATTTCAAGCTGGGTGCTTGAGGGTTCCATGGTTGTATACAAAGGAAGCGTGGCTTGACGCGGAAGATCTGGAGATTCTTCATCGCCAAGGAGATCAGACGGCAGCAATGCATCGGCACGAGGACTCATTTGAGGGTTACTCAAGGAAGCCGTGTCTAAATCCCCACGGAAGGTTTCAGGAGGATCGCCCAGACTAGGCATCGTCATTCCATTGTTGATGTTGAAGAACGCCGGAGCTGGAGTAAATGTTGGCGAGCTGGTTGATGGGGGCGGGTTGTAAACTATCGTACCGGGGAAGGTCGATTCGAGGGTAGGGAAATTGACCGAGGATGAGACATTGCTGGCGAGAGAACTGCGGTGACGACGAGGCCGAATTGTGGCCGTGTTTGAGAGATCTAGATCAATGGCTGGAATCGTAAAGGGACTGGAGCCGTTGTGGCGATGAGTGGTGAGCCATTTCAACCGCTCCTGGGCTTCCTGGTAATGTTGTTGAGCTTGTGCATAAAGATTGACGAGTGTGGCATATCGAGTTTGCAAGCTAGCCAGCCGAATCTCCCACTGACGGGCTCTTTCATTGTCAATACGATCCAACTCCCGACCATCTTCGCTGTCGCCACCTTGGAGATTGTGTCTCTCGTCTTCCAGCTTCTTGACTCGGCCGCCTTTATCCTGGATCTCGTCGTCGATGAGTTTCAATTCGTTTTGCTCCTTGGCGATCTTCTGCCGAATCTCCTCGGTCCTTTCCTTCTCATCCTCTTCAAGACGAGCCCTGGCTTCCTGGGCTTCGGTTTTTTCTTTGTTCATCTGCGAGATGCGCTCCCGCCACCGGGCAATCTCGTCCTTGCGCTTCTTTCGTTCGGCCTCTTTCTGCTGGAGAAGCCTTTCTCGTTTACTCTTTTCGCTTTGCACAGTGCGGTTGACGCTCTCGAGTTTGTACACGTGTTTCTTCAGGTCTCCGCTGGCTTCGTCCTTCTCTTTCACGCGCTTCTTCAGCTCATCTCGTTGCTTTTCGAGATCCTTTAGTAGTAAAATATGTTCTTGCTCCTCCTCAACCACCTGCTTATCCACAGCTTCATTCTCGTTTTGTAGTGTTTTTAACCGGTCGGCGAGTTGCTCCAAGCTGCCATCGCCATCATCGAAAAGCGGTGCCTTCTGGAGATCATCCTGATGACTGTGTGAAACATCGACTCCACTGGCGGCCGGAGATAGTTTTCGTCCTGCCGATGACCTTTTCGCTTGAAGTTGACCGCCACTTAGCTCTCGGGACATCAAGGGCGCGGAAGGGGCGGAGAGACCAGTCGTGGATCTCGGAACAGATGCACGAATCGTCGGGCTGCTGGTTGGTGCATTTTGCTGGGCCTGAGACAGAGGTAGTGACTTTGTACGGACGTGGAGGACGGCACTTGGCGTTTGAAAATTCGCTGCGCTGACAGATAATACACAAATATGATAGATGCTCCCGGGGGCTAGATTCAACACTTCAACGGCAGTCTCAGCTCGTTTCGATTCGCCGACTAGTATTGATTAGCCTCTCCCCGACTTCTATGAAGAAAAACAGTAGAGGCTTGGATTTCGTACCCTTGACCCCATTAACCTGGATTATATGCTTATGTATCGAATTGTGGAAGTTGGGCTGCTTCCACGCTATACGGATCTCCCGAGCAGTGATTTCCTCTAGCGTTACCTCGGGTGGGGGAGGGATATCCAGACCCAGCTTCTCGACAAGCACATCATTCGGTGTCTGGCAAACCTGCCAGGCTCGATATAACAGCCTATCTCCAGTCAGTAATGCCAGCCAGCAGCCACCGCACCCTGGGAAGAAGCACCCACCAGATCAAGGCCCAGAGGATGGAGGTCGCTAGAAACAGCGCCATGACGCCTCGCACCCTCACCCGTGGGACCACGCTGGGGTACGCGTCGAAGGCAAGATACAGCGGCTCATACATCCCAGCGTCTAGGGCCCATCGACGCTGCGGGGAGGGAGTTGCAAGGAGGAGATTTTCCTCTCCTCCCGTCGGCCGCTGTCGTTCCCTCGCGATGGCTCTCCGCCCGGGTGGGACACGTCACGTGAAGAATTCCTCTTACGGCTAGCGCGATGGATCTGCGCCATCTCCCGAGGCTATACCATTACAGGACTAGTGAACCTTGCAGGCCGATTCGGGACTAGCGCTGCCCCTCTGGTTGCGTTTCTGCCGGTGCAGGCCGAGGGCTGGCTGGAAAGAGAGAACGTTGAACTGTTGAGACCAACACTGTGGACAAAGCCTGTGGCAACTGCTGATTCTTTATTGTGACCTGCTATTCTTTTTCATCATCGTGCTTCTTTATCCTTACTATTGTTAATTATCTGTCGCTCGTTCCTCCATTGCGTCTCTTCAGCACGTCAGCAACTGTCAGGTTTGGCATGCTGCATATAAGAGCTGGCCTGGCCGTGTCACATGCGCCGTAGGTGGGCGGGCCTTACGAAGTCCTACGAAGCCGGTCGGGTTTGAAACGGTCTCTGTCGGCTCCCCTCACCTATTGTGTCGACCTCCTTGTGCTCTCTAGTCCTGTTCTCAGTCTTCTCGTTGCGAAGAGTTCCTGGTGATCACGATCGGTTACACGTCTCGGAATGCAGTACGTCAGGAGCATCAGCGGTTCGGTCTCCAAGACATGGAACTCAATCAACCCAGCTACGTTGAGCGGAGCTATTGATGTGATTGTGATCGAGCATGAAGATGGTATGTGCGGTCAGGGGTATCTGGGAAGGTGATTGGGATGCTGACCGTTGATGAGGGACGCTTGCCTGCTCTCCCTTCCATGTCCGTTTCGGCAAGTTCTCTTTGCTACGACCCTACGAAAAGAAGGTATATTTCTATACAATAAACTATTTTGGGCACTTTTTTGAGTTTTTTTCTAGGTGGAATTCGTGGTCAACGGAGCCAAGCAAGACTATGCTATGAAACTGGGCGAAGGCGGCGAGGCCTTTTTCGTCTTTGAGACGACAGATGAAATCCCGGCCTCTCTACAGACCTCGCCACTGGTATCGCCTGCGGGGAGTCCGAAGCCGGATGCTCTTGAGACCCTGCCGGCGTCGCTGCAGGAACCGGATTTTCTGGACCTGGACCGGTCCTTGACGGGCTTACCCAAAGGCCATCATAATGATACTCCTGGTATCCCGATCCTAGCGAGGGGCGCGCGGGCAACCAGCGACCTAGGTACGAGCATTATCTTCGCTTTTTTTCTTTGGGATTTATACTGCCAGTGGATTTTTGAACTCACGAGACTGCTGCCTGTTAGGAGCTTTGACCCCTCTTTCCGGGTCGCCCGAAGCTTCGGATATTGCAAGATCTCGACACGGCTCGTTTGGGGATGAAGCCATTCGGTTCGATCGCGCAGTCTCGGAAGGTGTTTTGCAAGCGACTACCTCTGCACCTGACGATGCTCACCAGAAAACCCAGCGCTCTCAGAGCCCCCCCCCACTGTCACCGGAAGAGACGGTCTCTCGCGCGATCTCGCTGTCGAAAAAGCTCTCCGGATCCAACATCCCCTCTCATGTGACCGAAACTGGCGATCTCATGCTCGACATGACTGGGTACAAGAGCAATGAAGAAGACGCGCTGCGCGCCGAGTTGGTCGCCCGCAGGATCCTTGCGGAGGAACTGGAAGGCAACTACGACATTGGTGCGCTAATCGGCGCGGATGAACACGGAAATCTCTGGATCTACAGCAGCGAGGAAGCCAAGGAAGCCGCGAACCGTCGAGCGACCCTGAATTCCCTACGAGGCAACAGCGGGTTGAACGAGGATGCGATTTCGGATCCGGGATATCACAGCGAAGGCGACCATGCTGTTCCCGAACCAGTATTGACTACGCGCCACCACCGGGCTACTTCCGATGTCCAGGCGAGCTTCCCAACCCCGCCCCAGTCGCCGACGCAGGACTCTGCCGGAGACCCGAATCGCAACTACGCAAAGACTCTGCGCCTCACCAGTGACCAGCTCAAAACCCTCGATCTGAAACCGGGGCCCAATCCCATGTCCTTCAGTGTCAATCGAGCCATCTGTACAGCCACTATGTACCTGTGGAATGTCCGCACCCCTATAGTCATCTCAGATATCGATGGCACCATCACCAAGTAAGCCAGCCGTCTCTCTCTTCCCTCCTCCCTCCCTGCGCTTGCCGACGACTAACAAAGATTCTCTCACTAGATCTGATGCTCTGGGCCACGTGCTGAATATGATCGGACGTGATTGGACGCATGCCGGCGTGGCTAAATTATATACCGATATCGTCAATAATGGTTACAATATTATGTACCTTACGAGTCGGTCGGTCGGACAGGCAGATAATACACGAGCTTATCTCTACGGGGTCTGCCAGGACGGGTGGAGGCTACCCAAGGGCCCTGTCATCACAAGTCCTGACCGGACCATGGCCGCACTGAGGCGAGAGATTTATCTCAGGAAGCCCGAGGTGTTCAAGATGTCCTGTCTCCGAGATATTTTGGGGCTGTTCTCCACAAAGGAAAACCCGTTCTATGCTGGATTTGGCAACCGTTTGACCGATGCGTTGAGCTACCGCTCAGTGAATATTCCCTCGACGCGGATTTTCACGATCAATTCCAATGCGGAGGTGTCTCTGGACCTACTAAGCCTCAACAAGTACAAAAGCAGCTATGTCACGATGCGCGAGCTCTTGGATCATTTCTTCCCTCCAGTTAGCTTGCTCGTGCAAGCCGGTGGTGAGGCCTTTACTGATTTTACATATTGGCGAGACGTGCCACAGGGTCTCGAAGATTTTTCCCTTACAGATAGCGAAGCCGAAGAGGACGAAGAGGAGGAGGAGGAGGAAGAAGAAGAAGAAGAATACGATGCCGAGTCGAGCGAAGATGAAGGCAGCGATATCCTTGACGATGAGCAAGTCGATGAGGGACTGGACGCTAGCTATATACCACGAGACCCGATGGAGGATTCCTATCTTGCAGACTCGGTCATTGATTCTATTGAAGAATCTGGTCGCTCGTCAGACCTTGGAGAAGTTTTCGATGATGAAGGTGATGATGGGCCGAATGCCACGGCCCTTGATGCGCTGACATTGTCTGACCCTCCCGCATCTGAGAAGGTCATAACCACTCACTAGCTGTAGCTAGCAGATCTTACCTGGCTGCTCAGTTAACCCAGGAGCCTCAGTCACCAGCAGCAGCACTCTAGCCTCCGTCTGCGAACGCTTCAACCACGGGCTGCAGATCTCCCCACAGCTGCCACTGCATAAACGGGCGTTTTTTAAGATAACTGCACACAGTCGATACCTTCCCCCCCTTATTATTTATTTTGGCATATCCCACTCCTGGTGTTCACTGGCGCATTTTTGGCGATTCTAAGTTCAGATTGTTGTTCGAGAGTCCCTCTTGCTTATTCGAGTCCCGCATTTCAGCGTCATGGTTCTTGAATAGAACCAATATAGAATTATTTTATTGTTTAAATGCAAGATTATTGAACTTACTGGAACAATATCAAGTATTCATTCACTTATTCAATAGTTATTGAGTGATGTATTCCGAAAGCAGCATAGCGTGTATACCTCAGGCTGTCAATGGAACATCATTTGCAGCTCTTCACAGCTCCCCTCGACAATCCAGTCTCAAGGAGCGTCAAGCTTCAACATCCCGAGTCTCAGCATACCTGATCTTGCTGTTCTAATAACTACTACTTCTTCTTCTTTAGCTGCGTCTCACCGACTGTCCACCGTGCCTACGTGGTGATCCTACACTGAGCCGAGACTCACCTGCACACCACCTCTTTCATGACCACGCCAGGGCGACATTCTACAGCATTGACAATATTTACGATACACCATGACATCTCCCAGCCAAACCCAGTCGTCTGCTCCCGCAACACAACCCCTGACACCGCCCGCGGAACAGCAACAGCAGCAGTCGGGGGCGGCGGCGGTGGCCAACAATGTCACCTCCTCGCAACTTAACGCGGGCGGCAACACCCCCGCGACGGCCAACAATGCGTCTAGTTTGAATGCTACGTCAACCTTGCCTACAGCCCAACCACCACAAGTGCCTGCGACGTCGCTGGGTGATAGCGGCAAGTCACGGCGACCACGCGACGTGCGGCTCATCCACATGCTTTTGGCCTCGCTCGGGGTGACAGCGTATCAGGAGCGGGTTCCCGTGCAGCTTCTCGACTTTGCCTACCGGTACACATCCGGGGTGCTGCAGGATGCAGTCCATCTCGCGACGGAAGGGTATGCGGGCGCCGTGGGCACCACGGATGGTGCAGGGGCGGGCGGGGGCGGGCGTGGCCCCGTGGAGGTCAACTCGGTGTCTCTTCCTGCGCTGAGGCTAAGCATTGCCTCGCGGTTACACTACCAGTTTCAAACGGGGGTGCCGAAGGAGTTCCTGATGGACGTGGCGGCGGAACGCAACCGGATCGCGCTGCCGGGGGCGTCGCGTGGGTTCGACAACGGGGCTGCTGCGGGGGCTGCTGGCGCGGGGGGCAAGGCGCCCACACCCTCGGTGATGATGGGGGGGATGAGATTGCCGCCGGAACGGTTCTGTCTGACGGGGACGGGATGGAATATGAAAGATGAATGGGACAGTGAAGGCGAGGAGGAAGAGGTTCCACTCCAGCAGGGAACGACGATGGCGACAGCACCGGGCGGAGACCTCGCGGCGGCGACGACGACGGCGACCATGGGAGCCGCCGAGGAGGCAGACGAAGAAGCAGAAGACGACGACGACGGTGACGGCCGGATGGAGGACATCTTCGGAGACGACACGGCGATGGGCGAGGGTGACGGCGATGGAGATAAGACGATGACGGATGTTTGAATCTTGTCTCCATATACATCTATACTAATACACTAGCGGTACGGCACGCTGGGTCTCATTCAAAACCTACTGCAGGGGACAGGAGTTTGCGGAGTTAGGACGGGGCTTTCTCGTACTGGAGATCATGACTGTATCAAAAAATGCTACTATACATACTATACATGCAATATGCCACAAAAAAGAAAAGAAAAAGAGAAAGAATCCCAGGCTTCTGAGACGCCGGAGAGAGAGAGAGAGAGGAGTATGCGCCGTCCGAGCATGCAATGGGTGTAGCTTGTCGGGGGGGG